GTCTGTCTGTCTGTCTGTCTGCGTGTCTGTCGGTCGGTCGGTCGGTCGGTCTGTCGGTCTGTCGGTCTGTCGGTCTGTCGGTCTGTCGGTCGGTCTGTCGGTCCGTCGGTCCGTCGGTCCGTCCGTCCGTCCGTCGGTCCGTCCGTCCGTCCGTCCGTCCGTTTGTCTGTCTGTCTGTCTGTCTGTCTGAACCTCTTTTCATTCGACCTGGAGAAGACTGGTTCGGTGGGGAACACCAAACGTCCCAAATGGGACGGATGGAACGGACGTGTTTTGCACTTGTGAATCGTCCTTGCTTGCGGTTTTGAGCGTTTTTGCATGAAGATGCTCCAATGATTTGCACGTTTAAGGACGTGGCTGCTAAAGCGCTTGCGCCTAGATGATGATGAAAGGAATGAGGACGACGCAGTTGCTTCTACACTTAGAATTTGTTGTTCTTAGGGTTCAAGTGTACAGCTGACCCAGTAAGAGTATTTTCATGAATTTTTTGGTTGCGGTTTCCTGCACATGTGGTTCCGCACATTGATTCAAGGAGATTCTAAGACTGGAGAAGGCATGCCGAGAAGAAGAGAAGGCGAGGGAAAGAACGACAGAATTGGTGACCATCAGGTGCTTGTGACGTGGAATGCTAGATTCGGGACTCCGGTCTTACCGGTCAGAGGAAGCGCTCGTGAGGCCTTGGCAAAGACCAAGGGCGAAATCCAGCAGAGCAACACCGAACGGCGACATCTTCAGCAGCATCCCGGCGAGATCCAATATGATCGCGAGTGATTTTAAATGATTTTAACATATTTCTTTTGACATCAAGTTGAAACTCTAGCTGACCTTTTTCCAATACTTGGCTATTTGAGAAAACACTCATGGCATCTAATGGCTACTTCGCCGCCAATACTCAGCCTCCCAGTCAGCCTAGGCAGCTCGATACCTCTCAGAACCAATTGGTGGAGCTTCGCATGGAGCGGGGCCACCTAGTGCTGTCCCGGGCGGAGACTTGGAGAGCGGAGGTTTTCTTCAATCCCAGCGGACGATTGTACTGGTAGAAGATGTAGAAGGGAAAAGTGAGAGAACACAACCCGGGAGTGCAAAACATACGGATCAGGCAATTGTCCAGCTCGCATTTGGCAAGATCGGAGTTCCCAAAGAATCCTTTGGCATATATTGAGCCAGAAAACTTTACCACTCAGCTGACCCTGCTCAGTTTTGCTCGACCGGGACCTCTGCACGAGCAGTTCAATCTTTGAATAAAGGACGAAGTGCCATGCTTCAGTTCCAAAAAGAGCATCCGAGAGCCGAGAGCTGCCAATTATTTGACGACTATCCTTGAAGCGATTCAGGTATGACATGCTCCGGCGGGAGAGCGTCTTCCTGCAGCATGGGCCTAAGCAGTCTTTGTGAGTTACATGCCTCTTCCAGTTGCTTGACGGATTTTTCACAGTGTGCAATCAAATGCGTCACAGGCACGATCAGAGCAGCCATGCAGCAGAGGCAATATTGGTTTGCAGTCGTAACATAATGAATGTTGGCTTGATGAGAAATCATGTTCTTCGAAGCCAGGATTCATTGTTCTGACATGTTCCGACTTTTTCTTCAACAACTGAGACTTTCTTCGACTTTGCCCTTTGCTCCTAGTAGCGATGCCAGGAGCTACTAGTAGCTTCTCGCTCCTAGTAGCAACGGTAGCAAGGCTCCCGGTGTCGTTGATGCGCCAGGTGCTGTTCTTGCAGCGGCTCCTGGAAGAGTACCAGCGGGATTCCAAGGCGGCCACGGCAGACGCTTTGAACCGCGCGCGGTTCGGTTCGCTCGACTCGGGTCGACCGGGGGGACATCGGGAGACATGCGACCGGGCAGGTGCTGGAGAGATCCATCTCACTGCTGGGAAATGCGACCTTCGGACTGGAGGCTCGACGGTCATATTCTTGCAAACCCCATGCAATAGCCATCAACTAGCCCAAGAAGCCCCTTTATGTTGTGGAAGGCTTCCTCCCAATGAAGGGTTGTTGCTGAAAGTATAGTGTTAGAGTCGTCTTTTGAGCAGGGCATGTAGAGCTGCAGGGTTTGATCGTCTCTGAGGGAATTTGCCAGCCTGTTTGCCACAGCGTCAGCTTGGGCTATCAGGAGCCATATGGAGCCCATATGGTGCTTGTAGATATGGGCCTTTCTCGGAGAAACGCAACAGATGATGGCAGCAGCACATTGGACCAGACCATTCTGGTAAACCACGGCACAATAAAGGCTAGATTCACGATCATGTTTCTTCTTAAAGCATCCAAGTGTTCTAGTGGAATCCTAGGTCACTTCAAAACACGGAACACATTTTGACATCATGCTGCGCCTTGCCATTTCTTTGCTCCTTTCCCCGGCTCTGGGCGACTCCGGCTGCAGTTCGCACGTGTCAGCGAGTGAATGTAATTGCCTTCCGGCATCAGGATGACTGTGCTTGGGATGTGCACTTACAAATCTGTGTATCTGATATTCCCTGCGAACTTCGAGGGTCAACAGTTTGTGAAAGGGAGCTGACCAACGGGGCATCATGGGATGCCACCCAGAACAAGTGCTTCTGGGATGGACGGTTGAAACAATGCCGCTGGAGCGAAGAGTGCTTTGCCCGGGAGAAGGATGCCTGTCTTCAAGCAGGATGCTCTTGGAGAAGGGTTTGCACACCTCAGGACGTTTGTTTCTGTTCCCAACACCTAACACCGCGAATGTGCAGAAATCCTCACCACGCGTTCTGCGAAGCCAGCCAAAACACTTGGACGTATGCTACGAACGGACGTTTCTTGTTTGACCAGTCGAAGCCATGCGACCTCTGTTCAATCAAAAAACTACCGCCCGCATTTCGTCCAAGAAAACACCCTGCATTTCGACCTCCCGCCACTCGGCCAGGACATGTCCGTTCGACCAGGTCCAAACGTTTGCTCCGATGTTTGCTCAATCCCTGGCACTGACGACCCGCTCCCGGGCAACCGGACGCGACTTCGCGCTTCGCAGCGAAGCGCCACGGAAAACCGAAAGCGTCAGGGCAGCAGCCCAGTGGTGGAGACCAGCACGGGTCCAGTCCAAGGCCAGAGTCACAGTTGGGATGATGGGGGCCTCGGCCATTGACGGTCAATCCGGAATGAAGCAAGAAACTTGCCAGTAGTGACAGTCGTATGATGTATTACTACTTTGGAGCTAATGTGTACAGGACGGGAGACCTGATGTTCATGAGAATGACATAGAATGAACAAGTAAGTCCAATTCGACGCCAGGCAATCAGCTGCCTGACATTCAAGAGTTTTTGGGCATCCCATTTGCTCAACCGCCTGTGGATCAACTTCGCTGGGCACCCTCCAAGCAGATGGAACGTTGGAATGCCATTTTTCAGGCGAGGCAGTGGTTCAAATGGCACAGTTTGAAGATCATTGTCATTTCTTTGCACACACGTTCATAACACACAGGGCTCCAATATGCTCCAATGCAGATTTGCCAGGCAACAGAATTCGGAGCCGCTTGCACACAGCAGTCCAGTTACTATGCGGGAGATTCGAAGAAGTGTCAAGGCAGCACCCGTGGCGTGTGCCTCGGATACTCTGAGGACCGCGTGAGGTTCCAACCTCACCGTGATTTTAAACCTCTTTTTGATGCCCAGCGTGTGGCTTCAATTTCTGGCAGGCTTCTTTTGCATTTGACCTGCAGGACTGTTTGACTCTGAATATTTGGACTCCAAGTACCACAGGTCAGAGAGCAGTGATGCTTTGGATCCATGGTGGTTGCTATGTGAGTGGCTCTGCCTCTGATTTGGAGTACAATGCCACCTCTCTAGCTGCAACCACTGATGTGGTGGTGGTCTCGGTCCAGTACCGCCTGGGCGTCTTCGGCTTCCTGGGCTCGCCGGACATGCGCAGCCGTGACCCGCAGGGCTCCACGGGGAACTATGGCTTGATGGATAACATCGCAGCTCTCCGATGGGTGCAGAGCAACATCGCAGCCTTCGGCGGGGATCCCAGCAGGGTCACCATCTTTGGAGAGTCCTCAGGCCGAGGGGGGAGCACGGAGGCAAGTGATGTGATGGCTTGTTGGACAGAAACACTGAAGCGAACGCCCAGCGTCGCCGCGTCGCCTTGGCTTGCCAGGTGCGGGCTCGGTAAGCCTGTTGATGGGGGTGGAGGAGCGCATGTTTGGGTGCAAGCCAGGTAGAACACGTCCGAATGGCAAGTTTGAGCAGAGGCAAAATCACGATTGAAGCAGTTTTTTTGTTCTGCCTGGGGCAAGCACTCACAGTGAGACAAGAATCAGGTCCTGGATGGTCCTGGTCAAAAGAGCAATTTCTGCCTTAATGTGCTGTGTGTTGATGGTTTGATCCAGCAAGGAGTCATGGCCTTTCTATCAGCAGGCAATTATGGAGAGCGGTACTGGATCGTTTTGGAGTTCCTTGTCTCGGCAATGTAGACAATCCAGCCGCTGTCGCATGATCGAATGCAGAAAGTCAAAGTAGGTTGCCATCCTTCTTTGGGGAGACCTAGAAAACATACCTTAAAGCATCCCTTTGCCAACGAGGCTACATCACCTTGGAAGGCGCACAGAACAACTGGCAGCAAGTGCTTGCAGCGACGAAGTTCCCTGGCTGTCAGCGAGTAAGGCCTTTCCATATGTTTGAGTCTGTTTGTATCTGGGTTTGTCCCCAACCTGTACTGCCAACCTGTAAGCTGGGGAGCTCGCACCATGCACAGTGCGGACATGGCCGGTCGAACCGTGCTTTCGATGCTTTCGATGCATCGAGAGAAGGTGCAGCTCCGATGCCAACTCCTCGAGCTCGAGCCTCATCACCTGCATTTTGGCCGCGTCCCGCTCGCTGCTCACTGACGCGGTCCAGCAAATCCCTTGCCGTGATGGCTGCACCTGGGCGCCCGTGCTGGATGGGGTCTTCTTGCCGCTTGGCTGGAGATTCAGGATTTGGAGACCTCCCAAGCAAGGGCGTTTATGAATCATAGATTTTGATTGGCCAAAGCAATGTGGATCACAGAAAGATACCATTCTTTTGCTTTACTGCGAGTGGATTTGCCCCCAGGCGAGGCACTCCCGTGCAGCAGGCAAAGCAGGGTTTGCTCAGGATCCTCGCCTGCATCAAAGCGCAGTCTAAGAGTTCACCAGACCGGCACTCTTTTTGGCTGGTTTGAGAGCCACATGGGCAAAGCACGTCTGGTTTGAGTTGATTCAACCTGTTTGTCATACAGGTTCCTCACCACACAGATGGTGACGTACTGGAGAGGTTTCGGTCCGCCCTTGGTACCTCGACAGCTGAGGCCAAACACACCCAGCATCTCAGGCTTCAACAGGAATGATGGCGCCATGTTTGCCACTTGTTTGTAGCAAGCCTTGACCTTGACATGAATTTGAATGATTTGGTTTTTGAAGGCATTTGAGTGCAGAACTGCTCATGATTTTGAGGTGACTGGCTATCCTGTGTCTATGCTGACCATGTCGGAAAGCCCCTTGCAGCGGGTTGTTTCGTGTGGGAGGTTTCTGTGGCTTTCCGGACGATTCAGGAAAGGACAAAGTCATCTCAAGACGGCACCTTTCGGTTCGATGTGAACTCTACTTGCACTCGCATCTTCTCCTCGTGTTGCGCTCTTTTTTTGCATGTTGAAGTCCGTCCACTGAGGCTCCTTAGACGACTATTTCTCCAAGCGCTTTGGGGAGGAGCGGAAAGCCACACTGCAGAAACTCTTTCCACCAAGCTCTGCCGGTGGTGGCGGCTGGACGTCGCAGTACTTCAACGCGGCTTCGGCCTGTGAGACGGACTTCAGCTGCGTGGCGGTCCGTTTGGAGTCTGGAGAGGATCGCTAACGGCCTGTTTGTGGATCGATAGGTAGGTTTGTCATGGTTGGTCTGTTTTCTCCGCGTTTGGTTTGGCCAGAATGTGGGAAGGACGAGGCAAAAATATCTGAGGCTACTCTTGCACTGCCCTTTGGATTTCAACTTGGTCAAGTCCATCCTTTGTCTACAAGTTCTCAGAGCCCGACTTTGAAGGTCTTACATTGCATGGGGATGAGATTCCATACATTTTTGGCACCTTGAGCTCACCCTCGGCGCAGCAGACACAACTCTCTTCCTTGATGATGCAATACTGGTCCAACTTCGCAAAGGGAGGTGGGGTGTCTCTTCAAGTACGAGATAAACTAGCGAGATAAACTAGCACTTTCAGCCCTCTATTTTTAGAATCTGGTCAAAGCATTCATAGCAACCTGAACGGCTGTGGTCCAATGTGCACTGCTGAACGGCATTCTCAAAGGTGATCCCAATGGCCCAAGCCTTCCGCCTTGGCCTTCTTGGGGAGGAGAGGTGTTGCTGAACATCAGCGCGGAGCCCGTCCTGGTGACAGTGCCTGGGTTTGGGTTTATATTTTGCAGTCACCATGCAACACTCCTCCATGAGAATCATGAGAAAGAGGACATTACTGTACTCTCCTTCAGACTGGGGTATGTGAGAAACCTCCTTGCCTGTCTGTGGGGACCTAAGTTATCCGAATTTTGCGTATGTGTTGTGTGCGGAACACAAAGAAAAGCGGAAAACACTCTCCCGTATTCATGAGGTCGTCATGCCTTGTGAGCTTTTCCTTCCCAGAATGCATCTCCTGCGCGGTGAGGTTCCAAACAATAGCTGGCCTGGTTGCGGCTTCTTCTTGGAGAACTGGGATTTCTATTCACTCTGCCTTCCGGGGACTGTGCAGACCCAAAGATCCATGATAGTCTGAGAGCCATGTGTCGGCTTTCATCCTGCCCACCGATGAATCAGGTTTCAGACGAACCCCACGAGCAGCGTGTCTTCGCTTCACACCGAACAGCTATTTTAAAAGCTTTCAGTGCGGCTACCACCGTCAGATAGGGCTGAACGGGCGATTGGCCAGCGGCCTTGTGTCCATGACCTCGTTTCTTGTAAGAACATGGACGAAAATGGTGTGCCTTCGGACAGTCGCTAGTTTGCCTATGCTCACGCACTTACCAGGGCCCTTTGCATGCACATGCTGCAGAAAAGCAGCTCCCAAGTGGTTTCAACTTGCTACAGACATGCCATCTGAATGAACTCCACGTGCTTCCGATCTCGCCAGATCTCCGCCGGTCGGATCGGTCCAGCGGTGGAGGGCCAAAGCCGTGCCCTCCAACAAGCGACCTTGAACTTGGAGCAGCAGGTCGGCTGCCGTCGGCCCAGGGCCGTGAACAACGTGAGTCGTTAGACCAGGTCGCTGTATGACTGGAGGGCCCTCCGGAGTCCAAGGGAGTGTTTGGTGTTTTTTGTTGTCTTCTGAAGCTGCAAAGCCAGGGTGCCATGGAACACGAACAATCCATTCCGTTTTCAAGACGTACCACACATGGCCCTGGTTTCAAGACGTCGCCACACAAAGCCACTTACCAGCATGAAGCCGAAGGTGCTCTCAGTGAAACGGTTCGAATCTTGTTTGTTTCACTTGGACTCCCGGAGTGACTCCCGGGAACGCATCGTAAGGCTACCTAGGCCCAGGCTGAGATGGAGGTGCCACATCCAAACGCATCAACAAAAACCACCCAAAAGTGTCAACGCGTCAATGGCACGTTGCGAGTTGAAGGCCAATGCTGAAGCCATGGGCTTAGAGAAGGACATGCTGGAGCTTCAAGCCGTGCGGCAGGCAGGTAGCTTCAGCCTAGGCTTCAGCTTGGCGAGTAATCTGTGGGACCATTCTGACCGGTTGTGATGAATGAGGAGCACCAAGCCACAGACTTTATTTGCTTTCGCCCTGCACACCTGCCGCGCTGTCAGGCGTTGGATTCCATGACCACCGCCGGACTTCCAGGCGAAGTTTTTGCGATCTGAAGACGTTTATGAGCTCTGCACAAGCCTATGTGATCCACACGGCGCGGCTGCGAAAGCCTTTGCGAAATTCCAAGAAATCATTCTATATAAAGCTAAAGGGAGCCAGGAGCTTCGAGGCACATGTGTGATGTGTTTTTTTTTTCTCCCGAAAAGAAAGTGGATACTCCCAGGCATTGAATGAACGGAATGTCAGGAGTACCATTGACCAAGAAAACCACACACCACAGTGAAAATGGCCAGCGTACCTGTGCTGATAAGCCACCGTGTTTTAAAAGGAAACGACACGACACATCAAGTAAACTCACTCACACCATTCATGAGGTTCAATATGTTTACACCATCCAACTGTCAACAAATATCTCTAACGGGCACTGGGGCACCGGGCACGATCTGGGACGGATCGAACGATCGCTGGAGGCTCTCAGTCTGGTGGAGGCCGCGTTCATTGGGCACTCTCAGTTTGCTTTTGAGTCCCATCACCGCACAACACCATGGAAGTCCAGGTGTTAGGACCTTCAACAGGTGTCCATATATGCTTTCTTGCCAAACAGCTTCGGCGGAGACTGTTCCAAGTCGTTACCCCTCTGTATGATGGATTTAGGGACGTATTGCAAAAATAAAGCAAAATGCAGGGGTCCAAACACTTGCACTTAACTTTGCTCTTACATGAATCAGTTTCTTCGCCGAGTTGACATTGACATACATAGACACAGCGACGCCCCCTTTTTCTGATGTGGATAGGCTTCAGCTTGTGCAAAGCTTGTGAGTCAAATGTTGACAACAGCCAGGTTCGAGCCATCACTGGAGCTCAGGCCAGGTCCGCGATCGACTTTGTCCGATCCAATCCTGTGGGTGCTACTGTGTATCAACAAAACAGAAACGAGAATACCATGGGCGTTTCTGCAGCACCTTGGACCTCGTTGTTATTGACCAAGGAGGCATGTCCCTCTTTGACACCAAGCCTTTGTCCTTCGAGCGGGGCGTTCCGAAGCTGATCAGAGAAGGGGTCTGATGCAGACATGGCACTTTGCGAGACGTCACGCTTGTCGTGTGAAAGTGGGGACAAAGATGACAAAGAACATCTGTCCCCACCTCCGAGTCAATTGGCAAAAAGCTTCTGTGCATATGCAAAGTATTGTTTCGTCCCACGAAATCACTATTGCTTTCAAGATACCACCACAAGCAAGTTGTTTGCTCAAAGGTAGCAGACTTAGGCTTGGTGGATTAAAGAGTCATGAGTCGGAAGCCATACTGTACCAACACAGACTTCACAGGCGTCATGATGGCCTGGCTGCCAGGCCTACTTTGTCCGCGCCTAAACTAATTCTGGCCAATGCGTGAAGGTTGTGGGCTCAAATTATTTGATCCGACAACCTTGATGCATTGGCCAGGTTTTGTGTGGCTCGAAAGAGCCATCCTGGCTAGTTGCAGCTCTACTTTACTTAAGAGTAAGATTGAGTAATACCCTTTGCCAGGCTTGGCAATTGGAATGTCGCCCGTGCTCCGTCTTTGTCCATGGACAGGCCTTGGTCGACAAACACGGAGCAACGGATCAGGTGGTCCCGGACCAGTCATTCCGGACCAGTGCATCATCAATCATCGGTTTTTCCAACAACATCAGCATGGCAGAATGAGATCAGCCATTGAGAGCCTCCAACACGGCAAAGTTGCTGTGACGGACATTCTTTGGATACAGATGTTCACTCCAACGTGTCCACAATTCCCGTTTGATTCCGAGAGCTTGGAAAGCCTGTTCGATTGGATTTGAAGCGACGTATATGGTAGATGCTGTCCTGTCTACAACTGGGGGACTGGGGGGGTGAGAACACAAGCTTGGTCCACTGACTTTAGGACACCTGATGATCAAAACATCACCTGACTCTTGCAATCACAAACAGTGGCCCAGTTAACAGGCGCAGGCAAGCAGGCAGGCACGCGCTGCGATCTTCTTCGGTGAAGGAGTCAAACGCGTGGCGCATCCGCCGCATCCGCACATTTGCTGAGATCCCGACTGCTAAGAGCCAAAGCGCTCTATGCTTTAACTTGAACAATTGCAGAATCGGAGTTGTGAAGCAGAACACTTCTCATGCTGCGCTGATGCAGCTTCTAGTTTGAGAATTGGAACCTCCACCTTTTATCTATTGACTTTCCTGGACACTTCTTTTGGACTACTTGCTTTGAAGCCAGCTCTAATAGTGCAAGAGTGGTTTTTGTTACGAAAGATCCTCAAACCTAGACCCCCAGGCTTGGAAACTTCAAGAATGGACCATGATTTGGACAGCCATTTCCGTGGCACGGTGAGCCATGGCCGGCTGGGATTTGCGCTATATTTCTGAGGCGCGATGGCGAAGGAGGCATGGTCCAATCGCACCAGAGGCATGTTTGGCCTGTGCCAGGCGCGCCTAAAGAATGATCAAGAGCCAGAGGAGGAGGCTGGGGCCGATGTTCCTTTACATTTGGCCCGTGCAGGACATTTGCCTCCCAAATGTTTCCGGATGTAAAAGACCATCTTCCCAGATCTTCCCAGTATTTCCTCCTCAAACTTGCTGAGCAGGACCAGCATGAGAGCAACACAAACGGCAATGATTCCCTTTCTCAGGAGGTTTTGGAGGCCTTTGCCCAGGAGATGAGCTTGGCGGGAGGTTTGGTTTCTTTGTCAAATTGTGTTCTATCTTTCTGCCTCATTTCTCTCGTTTCCATTCTCCTTGCCCATGTTAGAGCAACAACGGCAATGCAAGATACAGTACATCTCAACTGACAGTGGCTGCGTATCGTTGCAGTGGACGAATTCGCCGCGAGGACCTACCCTGCCCACCGCGGCAGCAACCTCCCTTTGCGTGCCCGGTACCTACAGAGGAGGAGACGTTTTCCGGTGAAATTTTATGCGAGTCCCGTTGGCATAGTCCACATCCTTGTCTTTGGAGTGGATCAATACTTGAGGGAAAGTCGCCAGTGAGTTCGAGCGGGAGTTCGAAATCAGTCAGAGGCTTAGCCTTGCTAACAGTTCATCTGCATGATGTGGCCAATGAGGATCTGTGGAGAGAGATGGAGAGAGTCTTGAATTTGTCTTCCATGGTGTTTTCCACCTGCACAACTATATAATTACACATCTTTGGGGTTTTCTTGGGTCCTCCTGCCAGAACATAATTCAGGCGGCTCGGAGTTCGATGTTGTGACCAAACTTGGGGACTTCAAGGTAGGTTCGTGTGAGCTGGTGCACCGTGACAGCAGATTTTTTTTTTTTTTCAGGGGCCTATGTAGTTGGTCTTAGTCTTCGGATCTCTTCGGAGTACATTTGAGAAACCAACTATAGCAATATATGTTGGGAATACTGTTTAAAGAGGTTGGGATGTCCTTGTTGAGACATCGATCCTTGTTGAGATGGGAGATTTTGTCATTGCTTCTTGGCAGATCTTCGCAGGATCCTCACTGGGTGGTGCCGGTGGGTGGGACGCTGCGTCTGCTCAAGGAGGGAATGGATGACCAGTTGGACCAGTTGGAGATTGGCTGGCTTCTAAATGACTATTTGACAACATTGGCAAATGCACCGGATTGGCTTGAGAGATTCGCACCCTTGTTTGTTTCCCTGCATTGCAATCTCTTCAGTGCTCACAGATCCAGAATTCAAAATTTGCACGCGAATTTGAGGGGGGCATCTACCGTTGGAGTCTGCGCTTGGAACACATCTGTGGAAACCTAAGTCCTCTTTGTGTGCTTTGGATATGCCATTGAGAATTTGAGTCTAACGTATTTCTGATGTCCAAGGTGCACATCGGCCTCAGATGCAGATCGGCGTACCTTGGATTCCTCGCAGCTTGTGTTTGTATCAGTCATTTTTTTGGGGGGTTCATGCATTGGATTAAAGAGGGCAGATCATATGTGCCATGCATGGTCAAAAACACCCGGTTGTCATGGGTCAGTCGGGATGTTCATCCATTTTGACGTATATCTATATGGTTGTCGATCTAAAGGTCCTAGTCAGCAGTGTGTATGACGATGACCCGGAACATATCAAAATCTCATTTGGCGAAAGTTTTTTCTCGAGTTGGCGAAAGTAATTTTTTTTTTGGCGAAAGATCTGGCGAAAGATTAAATATGTACTTTTGTATGAATGTTCATTTGCTTTCTGAACAGCTGGTGGCAGTGACTCAGAAGCTAGATAAGCTGTGGAAGTTAGATAACCTGCTGCTGCTGCGGCTGCTACTACTACTACTACTACGACTACGACTACGACTACGACTACCACTACCACTACCACCACCACGACCACGACCACGACCACGACCACTACCACGACCGCTACCGCTACCGCTACCGCTACCCCTACCCCTACTACTACTACTACTATTCCTGCTCCTGCTTTGGGGGGTGGCTTTGCCACAAAACTCTACCCCGCAAAAGGCGAAAGTTTGGCGAAAGTTCAGCTCAAGATTGGCGAAAGTTCACCCTGCCACATCTGACCCCCAGCCCATTATGAGTAAGTTTGAGTGACCGGCTACTACAGTGATTCTTGCAATTTTGATTCTTGCTGACACCCAGGAGAAACAAAAGAGACGTACTGGGTGTCAACAGTTAAGTAGAAGACACATGCTGACAAACAGTGAAGTTTCTATTTTGTGTTTGCCAGTGAAGCCATTGACGTGAACAAAACACAACATACATGGCACACATAAATACAACGTACTTCGGCGAAAGATAAAACGCAGGAAGGCGAAAGTTTGGCGAAAGTAAATTTTTTTTTGCGAAAATGACGGATCCCGGATAAAGGAATTTAGATCAACTCCCATATATATTATATATGTAAAACACATCATAATATATATATATTATATATTATATATTATATATATTATATATGATATATGATATATTATATATTATATATATTATATATTATATATTATATATTATATATATTATATATTATATATTATATATATTATATATTATATATTATATATATTATATATTATATATATATATTTTTTTTTCAACCCCCAAGGCTGGCGGGCATTTTCATAATCATCCTCACCATGTCCTCACATGTTGACCGCTCCATCCGTGAGGTTCATGGTGCCAATCATCGCAGGCCTTGGTGGGCTCCTCAGATCCGAAGCCAACGGTAAAAGCGCTCCGAGCCGGAGATCCCAGCGAAAGACGAGGCGCCTTCTGACCACCACGCGCTGCTCCAGAGCGAAAGATGAGGTTCCGGGCCACCAGGGCCGCGTTTGGGGCGGTTCCGGGAAGGTGAAGGAGCACAACCGAAGACCAGATCAGATATAAGGTTTATAACATTAAGATAAGGAGCCTCATGGACCATGTGAAGCGGTAGTAAGACCATCTGGGAGGAGAGACCATCTGTGGCATAGAACGTGCAAATCAACAGCACTTTTCTCACGCAACAAGTTCCAGGATCCGTGGCAAGAGAAACCGGGTGGAGGCCCCAGCTTTGACAACCGAGGTGCCCAAATGAGCCAAGTGCACCAGCTGTTCCGTTTCTTGCCACTCATGAAGACAAGTAAAGTCATGATTTGTGAAACACCATTGGCTCAAGCAGCTTAGGTATGCATCCACAGACTGACAGTTGACTGATTACTACGTACACACGAAACAGCCCGGTACTGTCAGTTCCGGTCGCTTCGACCAACTTCCGTCACGGAGCCAATGGATCGACCAATGGACCGGGAGGATACGGTGACCATGTTGGAAAGGGGTGCGTGGATTGATTGCGCTAAGAACCTTGGCGATTGGAAAGGGGGGACGTCTTGAAGTGTATGAGCCTGTGACAAAGAGCTTGAACTTCTCAACAATTATATACTATGTTATGTTACTATTACTATGCAATGCAAAGACAGCTCTCCGCAAAGGGCAATGCCATTCAAGCTGTGCCTGACTTCAGATTGGCACATGCCCAAGGATTGACGAGTTTCTCCAGGATCACATCAAGGTGATTGTGAGCTTGGACGGTTCGGACCAGGCGAGTATTTGAGGAACTCAGTTGAGGCAAAGGTTCCGAAGTGAAATCTCACTTGGTGACCCGAAACTTTTATTTATGCAAGAGGATGGTTGAAACACTCAGTTTGCTCGGGGAGCGGTGCATAGTGGCACATGAAAGCCCAAGAGGCCCTATGAGGCCTGATGTCATTGATGTACAATGTACATTTGGAAGTGGCCCGAAGTGGCATGTGATTCCTGCTGAGTCCACCTGCGCATTCGAATGGGCTCTACATGGATTCGCTCAGAGCGACCGAGAGACCGAGTTGTTCATTGCTGTGGGCTTAGTGCCAGGCACCGATGTAGGACAGGGATCGTTCGTTCCCCTTTCCACAAGCTGCAGCTGCTACAAGCTGTTCTTGCGAGTGGTTCAATAGACCTAGGTTCACTATTATGACAGTTCGAAGGCGGGCTTGACACTGTTTGGCATGAAGAAGACCTCCATAAAGACTGTGGTTCATGCAGTTCGGGCTTTGTGCATTTGACATGTGCACCAGCTGTGGCCGGGCAGGAATATTTGCCTCCCAAGTGGAGGAAAAATGCAATCCACGCCGAACCTGGGCAATAGTGGGGTTTCGCAGCCGAGGAAGACTATTTTGATGTATTTATTGGTGTCCGGCAAGGCTAGGTCTAAGTAGGTCATAGTCCTGTCCACCATCACCAGCAGTCGAGTTTACAGCCTCTCAAGGAAACTCATGAGGCTGCACATTTTATCCTTCATAGATTCATAGATTAATATAGCATTATAGAGTTTGAACCAGCTTAAGCTTTCCGAGGACGCAGAAGCCAAGTGCACCTCATATTTGGTGTCGAAGAGGTATACCATTAGCCTCTTGGAGGGAAAGGGTAGCTGGAAGCTGTCAAAGATCCATGGAGATCCGAGAGTGCGTCAGTTCACCACCAGGGCTCTCTACACTACTCAGGCCAAGCAGGAAAACCTCAGCCGACTGAAATAGCTTCCAGTGGCTTTCTCTTTTTGTCATGGAGTTTATGCAAGCTACTTGTAGGAAGCCAGCCTTGCTACCTGAGATTTCCACAACCTTTAGCAAGTGCTACTGCTGAGGTCGGTGACCTTCAACGAGACCCGAGTTCCATTGTGCCATAGAAATCATAGAATCTCTAGCATCCTTTTCTTTACAACGTCCTCCTTCTTGTGTCTTCACCGTATCACATCTTTAGTCGTTCGGTCGGCCAAATCGCCAAAGTTTGTCGCATTTGATGATCTTTTGTCTCAGTTGAGAGGACGAAGCTGCTGTTTGGCTGAAAAGTTGGGTTGATCTCATTCATTTGTCACCATCCTAAGCTCATTTGAAGTCGTTTTCTTTCACATCCGATTTTACAGTGACTTTTCCCACCCTCATGCCTCATGCGTATCATTGATTGCACCAAAGGCAGTGTTTCTTGTCAGTTGTCCATCACATTGCATTTGTGATCACGACTTTGGCAGATAGATCTGTTTCAGTAGAGAGATGGAGAGACCGACGCGGCTGGGTGGAGAGACGGCCTTTTGAGCTGCAGGGTATCCGGAGGTTTCTTCACTTTCAGACTCGTTGTGCTCTCCCGACTTGGCACGTCGAGAGCGCCCCAGTTGACTCGTTGACGCACCTCCGGAGCACCGGAACGAACATGCGAACATGGACCGTCCCAAGGTGTTAAGGAACGAACTCCCGGAGTGAAGATTGGCACGATGCTTTGCGAGGACGATGTTCTTCCCCGTTGGAAGACGAAAACAAAAAAGGGACCAGTAGTAAGAGTAGTAAGAGATGTTGAGGTCATAGAAGCTGGTGGAAGTCTTGAAGTCTTGTACTACACATTGATCCAACAAGTTTTGCGCAGTGGGCACCCAAACCGGACAGCAAGCCTATTTTCCATTTGTTGGGCCCCTCAAATTGCGAGAGAGAGAGTCAGTATTGCTTACTTTTGTCCATTGCTCTGGCAAACGCAGGACATCAAATCCCAAGCAGCAGGCTTTTGTATCATGGGCTTTGCTGGCAGAAAAGGCCACGCCGGAATGATGGGGGCGATGGGCACAGTTCAATGAAACGCTTCAGCCATGGATATCAAAGTGAGTGTACTGATTGTAAGATGTTCTTCCTTGTGTTTTTGCACGTTTCTTCAATCTGTTTGAAAGAACAATGCAGTACTGCTGTAGGTCATTGCTTGAACTGATTTGCAGTCTGCAGTCTTCAGTGGCGAGAACATCCCAAACTTTTGATGACAGTGCATCGCTTGACGAAGTCGTCTTTGTCAGAACCTTCATACAACAACTTCTCAATTACGAAAGCCAGCCTTCGTAGAAGGCGCCAGCTGAGTTGTGCTTGGCGAACGAAGTGAGTAGTTAGGGGGTCTGGGGGGGGTGGCCGCAAAAGGTACACGTAAACTCGGCACATGCTGGGGGAGGAGGGTGCATCGAGGGAAGGTTTTTTGAGGTTGTGTTGGAGGTGACTTTTGAGGGTGGTGATGCAAGAAATGCAATTTGCATCATTTGCATCATCTGAATGGAAAGGTGTAGTTGGCACCTTGCCAGGTATAGATACCCAGGGTAGCTATAGTGCAGCTACCAGGTATAGTACTTCAAGTTCCCTTTCCGTCAACCGATAACCTCTACGCACGCACAGCAACCCACAGCTTTGAAGCACAGCAATCCAAAGCTTTGAAGCCTCATGCGCGCGATACCTGGGAACAGAATTGTAGCTACCCTGGGTCCGTATAAATGCTATGTTGCTATACCTCTTACACACCTATACAAGTTCAAAGCACGAACGAGACTTCAATGCTGTGGTTTGCTGTGCATGTGTGGCTCGAGAAAGATATACGTAAACTCTGGGAGGTGATGCTTTGATGCTTTTGGAGCGGGTGGTGACGCACTCGCCAACTATACCCTTCAATAGAACTCGAACAGCTCAAATCCAGAAGACTCTGAAAATGGCCTGGCTCCCTATATGAACCCTGGGAAGTCTGGGAAGCGAAGAGGTGGAAACAGCTGGGAGGTCTTGAACTTTTAAGTAAACAAAAGGCCACATTCAAGCAGCAGAAGGACAATGTGCATCCTTTGCTCTCGCTTCGCAGACCTTCATTTTTTAAGGTGGCCTGAACAGAGTGTTTTAGGGCAGCAAGCCCTGGTCTCAGGCCACCTTGAATTTAGTTGAAAAATTGTCTGTTTTAACAAAAGCCTTGTCACAGAGACACCTCAGGACCCTTGCTTCGCATATCTTCATTTTTGAGGTGGCCTGAACATATAGTTTCGGGCAGCGAGCCTCTGGTCCCAGGCCACCTCGAATTTTGCTCTAAAAACTTTCTACTTGAACGAATGCACTTCCAGTCATATGACAACCAATCGTATGTTCAACCAGGTGCAAGGTCAATGTAGGTCAATTAGGTCAATGTGCATTTTTTGGTTTTTGCTTCATCTGAATGTGGATGGGAATTATCTATGTGTGAACAGAATGTTTTTTTCAAACGAAATTCAAGGTGGCCTGGGGCCAGGCGTTTGCTGCCCTAAAGCCATTGTTCAGGCCACCTCAAAAATGGAAGCGCTGGCTTTCGGTTTGCAGCTTCTCAAGTCATGCAAGAGTAGAAGAATAGAAGATTCTTTTAGAAATATTCTCTTAAAGTCAACATCTTTTAGAAGTCAACACCAATTCCCATTGTAAGATTTGTACGATGTTTTTGAAGTCTTAAGATCTAAGACGTTTCCCGCTCGAGGGCAGACGAGCAGGGCTTTTCCGAAGTATACTCTGTGCGTGGCCGCTGACGAGGCAAAGATCGGCACCTCATCGGTTCAAACGTCTTGGAGGCCGTTCTTCTTTCGTTAGCGATTAGTAGCGTCCTCTTGCTCGTAGTAGTAGGGCCAGGAGCCCCTAGTAGCGTCCTTGCCACTAGTAGTAATACCCTTGTTCCTGGTAGCAAAAACCGAATACTAGTAGCTCCTTGCTACTAGTAGTATTGCCCTAGCTACTAGCAGCATCCTTGCTACGTCACGTGGTGCAGTGGTAATTGCAGGAGTCTTGGACATTGTGGGGTTTTTTGTTCGATGCGGGGCGTTGAAGGTTTTGTTCAACGCAGGGCGAGCCCCCTGGACACTCATCAATGGCTTGCAGCTCTTTTATCCAAGCAACACAGCTCTTTCATCACCAGGTGATGCGGAGTGGAAGGTGCAGCTGCATTGCCACTTCCGCTGCATCTCCAGAGATTTGGTCGTGCATTGTTTGGGTGCTAAAGTTAAACCATTGATGGTATCAGGGTATCACCAAATGGCTAGAGATATCCGCTTTACCCTATGAGAGGCTTCTGAAACAACACGGTACACGGACCAAGCTTAACCCACAAGCATTCTGTCTTCCATCAGGGCCAACAGCATGCAAGCTGCGACTGCGATGGACAGCCAAACGACGTTGTGGAAGAGAGCAATAGCAATCCTTTGCAGACGACGTTGTTCTCTCGATTCCATTGATCTGAGGTCTTCAAAGAGTCAGACCCCAACAGATTGGCCATGAAACGACCCGTGACTCAGCTCGAAAATGGTCGTCTTTGTGGAACAAGAGAACTCTATGAACATTTTCGTCCTTGTGCCCGACAAATGTCATCAGCCATCAGCTTGGAATGACTTCATGTTCTTCCAAAGTGGCATCAAACGAACCTGGGGAGGCAAAGTTCGTGGTCTCCTGCGGGCTCAACCCAGCGGCCACCAAAGCCTTCGTGGATGCGCTGCGATTGTCGCGACCAGGACCAGTGTGACTCCGACGAAGCGGGAGAAGATGGAGGGGAGGGACAGATCAGTGGAATAAGAATGAGTACAGTAGCTAGTAGCTAATGAAAGACACAGTTTTTTTTTGTGCATGTATGTGCGACGTTGGCTTGAGATCGTCCAGATCTTGTCCATTGCTGAGAAGAATATGGAGTCCAGGAAGGCATAGAGGGTGGGCCGATTGGAAGCCAAGCGCGAGGAGACGAGATCCACGTCGTGTATATTAGGCCTTACTTGGAGCCGCACTCCAAGGAGACGTTCCGATGGGTAGCCGCGTGGTTCTGCGTCACCTTTTTGGTTTGTCGTGGATGTATGTGGCTGTCGCAGCAGTCTTGCTGATGTGGGGACTTGGAGGTGCCAAACTTGGAGATCTGTGTTTACGTCAGAAACCATTTGTTGCGGAGAAGTTACCAAACACCTTCGCGTGGTGTTTTCGGGCCAAAGATTTGACCAACAGGAACTCCGCACTCGGCTCACGCCAAAATATATGTTCTCTTTGCGAGTTGACGTAGGACATAGGACATAGGAGAACAAGTCACTGGAGAGCATGTGTTGCTCACCTACCTTGCAACTGAATGTGAACTGCGTGATAGCCACATGCCGTTGTTCTTGGCTGGTGCACCACCCAAAAACCCGTGGGAACCAAGCTCAACGCATCAGGAGAGCAAAGTAACGACTGCGATTCGACACAAGTACGATCACATTTTTGAAGGCGATCGGGCCATTTTTGGGTGTTGGGGAAGTGCTCAGAGTGCTGCTTATCGAAGTGGGCCAGTAGCTTGACAGTTGGAATGTGTGACCTTAACAGTTTAGACATGTTTAGAACACATCATCCAAGTAATCAATAGACTCTGGACCTACCAGGGTCGCAAAATTTGGCAAGGAAGTTCTTCATCTGTGCACTTAGAGAATCATTTGTCAGGCATGAAAGATGCAGCTGCATGGCCTAGTGGCAAGTTGGTGAAGTTCGGTGACCGGACAGTGAAGTTGGTGACTTGGTCGAACTGCCCTAGAAGCGCTCGGAGCTAGGACTTTGTGCAGCCTGTGAGCTACCAGCTACCACACGGGGGTGATGGATTTTTGAGTCAGTGGCGAACGGCGAATAATGGCCAGTTGGTACATAAGGTGGATGATTTTTGCTTTTGGGCAGACCTGTTGGCATCCTTTTATGTGTCTTCTTTTGCGCCAGACACAATTCCATAAAATTCCTAGGTCCTAGAGAGAGTATATTTCCAAGAACTACACCTGCAGAGGTCAGCGCTCTTCCAGGCGTTGACGTAGGCTTCGCCGCTCATTGTAGTGTGTGGTAAAACGTTCGACTACTGAAAGGATTCAACAGGCAGCTCCAGGCTTATATATATACTGTATATATATATATATATATTCTGTTCAACCGCTGAAAAATCAGATCCGTGGATGGTCGAAAGTCATCCTGAAGACAGTTGGGGCATGTCCGGGCTGTAAAGGCATATGATGGCCCTCAGGAGCCTTGCTTCAAAGGCCACAATGCTGAGGACCCCAAAACAATGCACTAATGTTGTTCCTGTAGCACCGAGTCATCATCATCTATCCTTTGACATTGCGCAAGTGTCATTTGTGTTCAATCGTGTTCCCGACATTTGCATACATTTGTTGTGTCCCTGGTTTGGCCGTGTGTGGAACGAGGTCTTTGCACCTCAAGGAATTAACGAAGGAGTTGCACAGGCTTTGGTGAGATATGTGGCTTGGGTGACAGTGGCGGGGAAAAGATTGGGACAGGTGTGCCTCATCACTATGCTGTGACCCTCCGGCCCGAAGATCCTGGACGATAGCTCGAAAGCTAGCCCTTTCCGATATTTTTCAGTTCATGCGGCTCCACGGAGGTCTCGCCTTGTATGCAGATACTTCAGTCATCAAAAGATTTGCAAGCCTTCTTCAGTTACAATGGGTTGAACCTTTTCTGCAGCCTTGACTACCCAGAAGCCAGTCATGCAAGGTGTAACAGTCACAGCCAAGAAGACCAGAAAAAGGTCATCTCCTTGAGGCGAATAACTGATTGTTTCTTTCGTGCCCTCTCAGAAGGCGCTTTCGCCGAAAGCGTGCGAGTGTTTCAGGGCTTTAAACACCAACGCGCGTTTTTCAGCTGTTCGAGCGAGCGCGCGCTCTCGCTTTCGGTGGTTCCTTCGTTGAGGCGAACAACTTTGAAGCCGACTTCGTGATGGTGGGCACCAACGTGCTGCGGGTGGATCGAGGGAAGCCCCCGGTGGGCTCGGTCGCTCGGTCGGAACAGAGTTGCGCTCGGGGCTCGGAGTCGCTCAGAGTCCGGTGAAACACGATGTGCAGAGTCCGCTTGGTGACTCCAACACAGGGTCCTTGCGCAAGGATCAATCTGCCAGGCCAATTACATTGTAGGTAGATGTCCAGGATTGTCCAGGCCTTGTGATGCCTTGTGAGTGAACTATTCATGGGGTGAACTATTCATGGAGTGAACTATTCATGGACCAGCCCAGGTGTCCTTGCAGATCGTCATGGAGTTCCCGGGCAACTGCGTGGTGAGCAGCTTCAACCCTGACACGGACACTTGGCAGCATTTTGGCAGCCATGTCCATCTCATGGCCATTGGACTGGTCTGAGGACATGGCGATGAAGCCCAAGTGATGAGCAGAAGTTGCGATAGGATTTCCAGATGGAGGGTACAAAGGATACAAAGGGTACTGTATGGGCAATTTGGACATTCCACAACCGACATTCAACAACGGCTGTGTGGCAGACTGAGTAGTACACTGAGTATGACTTATTTGCTGTTTCATTCATCTGCACTTTGAGCAACGCACACACACACACACATTTCGCCGTTGGGTCTTCTATCCTCCAGACCCAAACGACCATGATTCGTGGCTTCCGCCGCACCGTGCGACGGAGCTTCGTTTGGTCCAAATTCAATTGTTACAAGAACATTTGCATGGACCAGAGGTTGCTAAAATTGGGCAACGTGCACAGGACCAATCCTGAACTCCACAACATTGGTTGTGGGTTGTAACCATTTTGGCTGCCGAGTCGCCATTTGTTTGCAATTGTGTGCATTTCGGCCGAGAACATATGGAAAGGAACCTTCTTCAGCCGCACAAAGTTGTTTATGTTGTTTGTGTCTATCAAGCATCTTTGGTTGCTTGGGTTGCGTACTGACTACTTGCCGAGGGTTTGGCATACAAGCCTATTCTTCTCACAACAACAACAACAACAACAACAAAGGAACCAAGTAGCGATGGCCTCCTTCCTACTAGCGATGGCCTCCAACCTAATAGCGATGGCCTCCAATCTACTGATCTTGGCCGGCACACTTCACCTTTGCATCGGCAGATCTGCCGAACGCAGCGCAGGGATCAGAGCGTTTGCTGTGCCGCGGCACGGCTGAAGTGGTTTGACGGACTCCCTCAAGTGGTGCCAAGCTTGCCACATAATTCTCAAAAAACTTGACAGAGGAGAGGTAAGCTTGTTGATTCTTTGTTCTTTTTTTAATAACCAGGGGGGTTCGTTGTTCCTGGGTGGTCTCAGTTTCATGTGTCCCTTCACCTACGAAGTAGGGCAGAATGGCTGGAGGCTGGTCATGGCATCATGCGAAGAAGTGCGCCGCCATCTGGAATCGGATTAGAGTGACTAGAGTGCTGGCCAACACAAGCTGTTGACCACAGCAGCAAAACATCAATATCATGTAAAATCATTTTTGATGACCAATTTTTCTTGGCTATTTGTATTGCAACTTTGGACTCCCTGAGAGCACACCCGTTTATCAGTCCCTAAAAATCTAGGAACCAAATCATTAGCGTGAGCGCTTCTTCAAGCCAGGAAGCTCCCCCCTGCCTGAGGGCAGGTGGAGCTTCCTTGAAGAAGTGCGAGCTATCCGGCGTCCAGTAGGTAGTAGCTTAAGTAGCTAGAAGCTTACTATATACCTTGCTTAATTAAGCAGGCACCTACTTAATCAAGTAAGGAGGCAGGGCCACGGGCTAAACTAACAAAGAAAAACGATCTTCACGTTTATCAGCGATAAGGTGGTGACAGGATGTTGGTCGAAGGTGACTACATCCATGTTGAGGCCTGGGGATCTGAAGCAATGGAGTGGAGGAGCATGCGCATTGGAAGAGCACGATCCGACGGTTCAGGGCCGATTTTGCAGGACTCAATATTGGCTTACCACTCACATTTTATTAACATGTTTTCATGTTATTCACATCTCACTTCAGACTAGCACCTAAGTGCATCAACTAGTAACAAGGACGCTGCCACTTCCCTCGGTCGCTCGGGCCAGGTGGACCTCCGGGGCCTCCACTTGCCCTTCGGCACCATGGCGGTGGCCATCAATGGAGAGCCCTCGGAGGTCCGCGGAGCCGCAGAGCCGTGGCGGTGAGTTGGTGAAGGACTGGATCAAGCAACGCTCCTGGAACAAGCAACGCGGGGCCCATCCACCCCGCTCTCAAGCGAGGTTCCACTGGGTTCCACCGTGTTTCACTGATTCAGCACGACCCAAGAGCAGTCCAATTTTGGGTGACAGCACACGGCACCAAAACATATTTACAGGTGCAAATCCAGAGATTGACTTTCAGGATTTCTACCTGATAAATTTGCACAGAGACTTGCGTAGTAGTTGTTTTTTTGGCAATGTTTTGGCTGAGCCATACATATGTATATATATATTATTATATAATGGTACACTCAGCTCATTCGTTTGCTTGAACCCTAGAAACGCTGGGAGTGTGCAAGGTGATCTTTGATGACATCGCCCTCACCACGGGGCCTTGCTAGCAATGTTTGAGCCAAAGCTTTGCACTCTGAGTTGCAATATATGTTGCAATAGTTTGCAATCAGAAGAAGACCGCCCTTAGTTCCAATTTGCAAAAAATTGGGCATTACTCTGAGCTAAGCCCTCCACAGGTAGCACTAGCCCACCAACCACAAACCAAGCATCAAGCTTGCCAGCTCGTACTTTTGTACTCTTTGCCCAAGCGTTTGCTTTGCAACCTGATACCTGGCACTGCCCGCACTGCGGCACTTTTGCACTGCCCGGCCGCCAGATCCTCGCTGATGCCCGTGGTGTGCATGGGTGGACATATGTCTCGTGTGCGTCTGATGCCAGCCTCGTGAGCGAATAAGGCTCGCATAGACGCGTCGGTTGGCTATGTCCGATCGAGCCCGGTCTAGAGCTGATGACTCAGCAAGGCTCAAAATGCGGTGCGATTCACTCGTGCTCTTACCAAGGGAATTGGGATGCTTTTGGGCAGCCAAAGTGATTGGGATGCGCTGTTTTAACATTGAGGCTTTTGCCTCCTATTTATGTATTGACCAATGCCCAGAGGCTTTTTTCATGTGCATCGGATCAGTGTTGGCAAGATCCTTCTGACGGACTTATTCAGACTGAGAATTAATTGGACCATGTGAAGGGATTTCCGTTGGACAGGCGGCGTTCCCTTTGTGTCGAACTGTGTCGTTCCCACCCATGGCCCCATGGCCCAAACCGTGCCTGCAGTGATCTGATCATGTGGGGTCCGTGATCGACGCACGGGGGGACGCGTCGGTTGGCCCTGAGCCATGGTGGGAGGCGTGGCCCTCACTCATCAGGTTGAAGGATGTTGAGCGGTTGAACGCTTGAAAAGGTGTTTGCTTTGACCCTTTGTCACAGTCAGAAACATAAAAGACCAGGTCAAAATCTAGCGACTACTAGACAGTTTCCTAAGATTCGAGGAACCAAATCATTAGCGCGAGCGCTTCTTCAAGAAGTGTGAACTAGCCCGCGTTAGTTTTTAAAGCACACTTACTTACAATATTAGTTTCTATAGTAGTCGCTAGATTTTCACCTTGTATTTTGTGCTATCCTGTGTCCAGTTACTAGAAAGAAACTTAAATGGCTAGTAGCTTACCTCCTTACTTAATTAAGTAGGCGCCTACTTAATTCAGTAGGAGCGAGCAAAATACATGAATACACATGACGTTTTTTCTTGATATCTGCCGTGACTGCACTCCCCCACGAGTTCTTTGCTTCTCGCAGTCATGGAGCTCATCGCTATGCTCAGAGCGGGCAGCATGGACTTCGTCGGGCAGAAGCAGGCGGTGGCAAACTGTGGCAAGCGGCCATTGCTTTTCTGACAAGACAGGTGAACCCGACTTGAAACTACTCAGTTTAGAGAAATACCTTCATTGATAAGGTCTCCAGTTCATGATTTGTATATGGTGAGGCTCTTTCTTTTTCTAGCAATCATGGAGCATGACTTGCACTAACGTGGCTCGCAGATACTTTCCATTGGAAGTTGGCGAGTGGCCTTGCAGTCCTATTTTTTGGTACTTACGAGCAAGCAAGTTTCCTTGTGCACCGAGCGATCGCCTCCCAGGCGTTCAACATGCAGTTCTACTTCATTTGGACTTCAGGCACTTGACTCATTGCAAAAGAATGGCTTTGATCGCTTCCTACTCTTCCAGCACCAATCCTTTTCATCACTTCCAAGCCAAGGTGTCATTGGCTTCGTCCATGGCTTTATTGCCCAGAGGCGTTTTTGAGGGGGACCTGACTTGACATTGTATTTCCAGGATTTTGTGAGCCACACTCCTGCTGACATTGTCAGACGTGGTGCTCCGTGTTACTGACAGAGCCCAGTCGATTCGTGTGCTTTGCGCTTGGCCTGGCAGGTATTTGTACACGTTTGCGTGGATTTTTGGTGCGGGCCACAAGATTGGCGTGCATATTCCATATTCAGCAGATTCAAGTCGGCAGGGCCCACGAGCTCATTGGGAGAACGGGCATACGAGCTCATTGGGACTTTTGAGAAGGAAAAAAACTGGTACTTTGAGAAGGCAAAGTCTGAGAAGCTACTAGTAACAAGTGCCACGCTAGTAGTAACAAGTGCCTTACTAGTAGTAACTAAGAAGCTAGTAGTAACAGGTGCCTTACTAGTACGGTGCCACGTCACTCGTACGGTGCCGCACCATGTCACGCTCAACCCAAATGGGCCGAGGCACCGCTGCCTTTGTAGCACTGACGTGCTTGCCCCCGTGGCCCATGTGGAATAGGCTGCATCATGGCCCGCATGGAAAGATTTAGGAGACGAATGTGTGTATGTATGCATATGCATTTTATGCACACCATCAAAGGACTGGGTCACCAGAGCAGGCTTTGAGCCAATCGTCGGTTGGAATCGGAATTCACTGAACGTATAGGCATCCTGTGGCGTGGTTAGAGCCCAAAGACCGGGATGAAGACGACGAGCCCAAGCCAAAGAAGACGCAGGAGTCAGACCGATAGGTCCGATAGGAGTGCATGAGAGGACGTAGGAGTCGTTTCAATGATGTATGTGCCTCAGCGGAAGAACCTAGAAATCTTGGCAACTCTTTTACTGCCAGGAGAATAGCAGCTCCAAAAAAGCTGCGAAAAAGAAGAAAAGCTGAAAAGCTAGCAAAGACTTGGGCAGCTGAGCCTATGCGGAAAGTGGGATGGCTGCTCAAAAAGATGAGCATGTTCCACCCTTGCTGCGAAGCTTTCGAAACTCACAATGAAACGGCTTAGGGCGAGCAGCCTTCATGTAAGGAGCTTTCAGATGGTTTCAGTCTGCAACCCCTTGGTCAAGAACGGTGTTTCGCATTGAAGCGATCCTTTTTTCGACGCGACGTTCGCTAACATCCACGGACGTCGCATCGACTCAAGGACGGAGCATTGTTGTGTTGAGTGGGGTTCGATGGACTCACGATAACTCATGGACTTCATGCTTGCGGCGTTTGGGCTGGAGAGTTTTCAGTGGCCATTGGCGCCTCATTGGGCTCGGGGCTCAGATTTGCCTACAGCGCAACTTCCTTTCAAGCTGGCTTCCAAGTCACTGTTGACTTGGTACCTCCGTGGGCGGACCATGTCCTGCAACGAGATTGAAAAAGACCGACCAATCACCCGCAGCCTTTCCCTTTCCAAACCCGATCGATTGTTTCCTGTTTGCGATGAGGGGCCGAGCGATGGCTGAAGCAGCTGGAATCGTCCGAACCTCAAGCGGAGGGAGGAACAAGAGGACGCTATACTAGGAGCAAATGGCATCGCTACTAGGAGCAAGGACGCTACTAGGGGCTGGCCATACTACTAGGAGCAAGAAGCTATTAGAAACAAGAAATAAATGGAATTAACATAGAATTAAGTTTAATTAGAATTGTCTGAACCTCAAGCGGAGGGAGGAAGCTAGTTTTCACAAAGCAGATCAGATCACACTTATTAATTATCATCGGATTGAAGATTGGAGCGGAGTGGACAAACTCCAACTTGTTGAAACTGTTTGTAGATAGTGCTGGCTGCTGGCGCTCATGCTGCATGCATGTCACTAAAAAGGTTTTGTTTTTCCAAAGCAAGATGGACACTTCTGCAGATTGGCGCCTCCAATTGTTGACAAGCCTTAACCGCAAGCAGCCAGATACTGTAGATCAGATAGCCAAGGGATCAGTCTTGGCGCGGGAAGACCTCCCCTGATTCAAAACAGTTTGAGGAAGTGGATGGGACGGACTGCTCCTGAGGCAGTTTGGACCATGTCTCAACAGCTCAATGGTTTTGCAAGGGTTCAGTTGATGTCCTCTGAGGTCATCACTGCCTCGGAGTTGCGGCGCATCAGGGACGCCATAGGTGGTGTTGGGTCACCCAAAAGATTCAAGAGAGCATTTGAGGGGAAAGCGATGAGACTGAACTTGAACTGCTTGGTGCTTGGCGGTTTCCAGTTGAATTTCTTCAGCCTGTGAGGATTTCAAGGCTCTTTGTTGCGTAGCAATAGTGCCTTTTGGATACGAAACAATAACGAGAGGACAGTCATGGAAACGAGTGGTTTCACATGAAGACTTGCCAATAGTCCCGTGCAAGTTTTGATGAACAGATGACAAAAATTCTTTTGCGGACATGATTTTCAAATCTTCCGTAAGAAGCGGCACGCAAGGACTTACGCCACTTCACCATGGTGGCGCTAGAAAAACCGCTAGATTGGCGCTGCATTGTCATACCCAGGAGTACCCTTGGTAGAAAGAATGCCTCTTTGTGATTTTTGATTGGTCTCAGAGGGCATGTGTTTATTGAACAGGTCCAGTGCCACTAGGGGGGCTAGCATTTCAAGGAAAGTGTGAAAACGATGGAACACCTTCCAGTTGGACTTGCGTGCTTGTTTTCAGGACTCGCCACCGATGGGTGGCTCAAGCTTGTCATGAGCGGCAAAGCGCGCGGTCACGACACGTTTTGTTGTTGGGTGTTTTCGGTTGCCATTTTACATTGGGAGTGGAGCTCAGTTCTCCACGAACCCTTGCAATCTGTTTGTGGGAGACCTTTGTTTTTTTTGAACACGTGACTTTCATTTTTTCCACCCTCGCATCGGTCGATAGAGCCATGTCGACCGTTGAGTCCTACGTTGGCAGAGCATCCCACCCAGGAAGAGAACTGGAGCATTGAGGCCAAATCTGGAGTCCCAAGGTATGAAGTTCACGAAGTTGGCGAAGTGCCAGTTCAGAGTCGGGTTGCGCCAAGCTCGTGAGAAGGACATGGACGAGCAAGGTGTTCGGAAGCTTGGGCCCCTAGCACTGAGGCTCATAATGATCTCCGCGGACCGGCGTTGCAAGTCGCCAGATCTTTGCCGGCTGATCAAATTGCCAAAGCAGAATGGACTTCCATGCTCCTCAAGGCCTTGCAATCCTCGCTGCAACCTCGGTCGAAGCAAGAAGCCAGGGATCTTTACCAGATCGGTGCACAGCAAGGCGGGATCTTGAGCCGGCAGCATGGTGAGCTATGTCTTGCGCCGCAAGGCATGGTATCACATGATGCTGGAGTTGCTGGAGACCTGGAGGCCATTTTGGCCGAGCAAACGCTGCAGAACTCTGGCATGTCGCCAGGCCACCAACCTTTGATCAGAGCAGCAGTTCATGGCGACATCACCACGGGGAAGATTTGTGAAGAGCTTGTGGCGCATAGTCGAATCCACGATGTTGAGAGCCGGAGCGGAAAAGGCTTCGGTGGCAAGACCTACAAGGGCTACAACTCGAAGAGTTATGGTGGAAAGGGTTCACATCGGCCCTGGGCTCGAGCCTATCATGCCCAAGGAGAAGAATACTATGACCGCGAAGATTGGGAGGCGCGTTCCCAATCCCTCGGTGGCTATGAGGACTATGAGAGCTGCAGCTACACCGTCGATGACGGCTCCTATGCCATGGACAAGGACGAGGTGATTTGCGTGGCCTACGTCAACATACTTGAAGAAGGGCTTGATGAAGCAGATAGGTGAAGCAGCCGAGTATGCGTGAGGTGTTGCAGGCTGAAGCTGAAGCCTGCTACCTCCGCGCCCAAACTGGCCCAAGCGGACATCAAGGCTTTGGCTCTTCTCGACATTTTCAAGCGTAAGGACACCTCACTATGGAAGAACGGAAGGCCAGAGTGCAGCAGCTCAAGTCGAAGACGCAGTGTCGAAAGTGCGGCCAGACTGGTCGTTGGCCCAACGATGCAACGGCAAGTCTGCAGGAGGATCTCCTTCCTCTTTGCGTGCATCATCTACCGCCGCTGGTTCACCCAAGTCCTTCAAAGGTGGCAAAGTTGGCAAGAGTGATAAGCCACAAAACCGTGCGCTGTGCATTTCACATTTCATCAACAATGAGTATGACCAGGCAGACCACTCCGTTGAGCGCGCCTGATCGCCGAGGCTGAATAAGGAGCGCAAGGCATACCTGGACACCTACATGGCTTCTGAATGGATGATGCGCATGAGGAGAGATGAAATGATTCTATCCGACACTTTCTTTGGAATGAGTCTGAACGTGGACTACCTCGACAACCGAACGACCAGCGCCTGCCACACCAATGAGCTCTATGGCGTCATCATCTCGATACCAGCAGATGGGGCGTCCGTCAGATGGAGGAGATTGCGTGCATATCAACATCTCAACGCCGGTGGACTTTGAGTATGACTCAAGGTATCTGAGGACCATATGGCCTAGGCTGAACACGATGAAGAGCGAGAACACCTATGAGAAGGTGACGCAAGCGCGAAGGGACTGGTATCCAGTCCTACAATGGTTGATGAAGTTGGTTGACGGAAGGTTTGAGGGAGGGAGAGAGATTCTTTCGGAAAACCCATGGCCGTCGCTTCTATGGAAGTTGCGTTGTTTTGAGAGCTTGATGAAGGCCACGCAATCTGAGCACTGGAGAGCCCTTCAACCTGGTGAAGATTGACCAGCGCATGTACGGCCATGTATGGTGACAGCGGAGTTCCTCAACAGAAGTCGACCGACAGGCCTGATGCTCTCTTCTTCCAAGATGAAGGAACAGCTGGGTCTACTTCGCGACGGACAACTTCTACATGAACAGCTGGACTGAAACAAGACCAAGAAGGCGCAGCAATGACCTGGGAAGCGGTGCAAGGCCATTCTGGAAGGAGCGCTAGAAGAATTCGACTGTCAGACTGTGAAGCAAGCTTTTCCTGCAGAGTTTTAACAAGAAGAACGTGGCAACATGGACTCCTTCGATGGCGTTCATAGTCTGGAAGATGTGGCAGAGCCGGCGCGCAAGAGGTGAAAGATCGACTTCAACGCCATCGACCAAGAGGAAGACTATGAGCAAGACAGGCAAGAAGAAGTTGAAAAGCTGCTCCATCAGAAGGAGCGCGCGGGCGTGAGAGAAAAGAGAAAGGAGAAATGGTTTGCGACGTCAAGAGAGCAGGGAATCGCAATTCGATGCATCAGACGATGGGACATTGCTGCGCTCAATCCCTGCTAAGGATGTTGCGATTGTCGATGGCAGCGCGGAAAGTGATCGGTGCGAGAGTTGTGAAGAGATAAGAACCAAATCCAGCGCATCAAGTTCGACGATGATCGGCTGTCTGTGTCTTTGAGGTGGTTGATGTGAAGGTGCCAGACATTCCATCTTGTCAACGGTGGGCATGGCGACTCACTATCATGCCGATGTGCGAGTGCCCTGGACTGGAGGAACACCATTTTCCAAGGTGCGCGCTGAAACCATCAACAACTCATGGCTCGTGCTCAAAGAGATGTTGAAGAGGGCCATTCACGTGACCGGCTGTCAACTGTTTGGAGCTCGCGGGCCAAGAATGTTCTCATCAACAACGGCGGCTACCGGTGCTAGGTCACACACCAGAAGACCTGAGCCGTCCGGGAAATCAAGACCGAGAGAACCATCTTGGAGTACATCAAGGCCTCGTTGATGCTGAGGAGAAAACGCCGCAAGAACAAGAACAGCTCACGATGCAGCTGTTGATACTGCCAAAGAAGCGTTCGCGCAGGTCGACAGCTGGGAGAAGATCCGCAAGGCTATGTTGCGAAAAGCGGCGCCCATCAGAAAACCATAGCGCGCTGGCGATCTTGTTTGCTTTTCCAAACTGGGAAAATGGTATGGGCCTGCGGGAGTTTTGACAACTGCAGGAAAATCCTTTTTGTGGCTTGTTTGTTCACGCTGGAGTGACAGTGCTTGTGGCCGAAGCTTCATGCAGACCAGCAAACCCCAAGAAGTCATCCGGAAGCACATCTTGGGAAAGAGGCCAGTGAAGAGGAGGAAGCGAGAGCTCCATGGCAGACATGGAGTACATCCCATTTGCCTATGATGGAGATGAAACACGACCCCTGAGACAAAGAACTGAACGCCAGACACCCTGCATTGATGTTCAGGAGTCAGAAGACACGTCAGCAACATCGGCGCTATCAGCAGACTCTCCAGCTGCTACCCTGCCCCTCCTTGCTTGGATTGGCCGCAGGTATAATGGCAGCAGCAGTCACGAACGCTAACGATGACCTTCTCGACTGTCCGCCATCCTCTTTCCTGCAGCGTTGCGCCCCACATCTTTCTTGAATGTCCTTCGCCATGAGGTTCCAGATGGCCATGCGCCGCCCTCAGCTCCGCTTCATCCACACCCTCCAGGTTGATATAGGGCGCTAAGCTGCCTTGTGGGACAGCGCCCATCCTTCCTCAATTGATCCACGTGCTCACAGCGCTGGCGTTCGCAATGTGCCCTCTATAGTTACCAAGCCAGCAGGAGGCACTTTTGGACTCTCACTTCCAATCGCGCCATAATCGGTCTGCTGTCCTCCACCGCCGCTGTTGGCGGCTCAGAATCACCATGCCCCCCCTGCACTTCCCCATCAATCGGGGGCCCTCGTCTTCCATGTCCAGCGCGCAGAGAAAAAAGGTTGCGAGGAGGGGGGCCACTCACTTGAAGCCAACATGGCAACCATGTGGTGGCTTTCAAAATGCTTGTTCTCATACGCGGCGCTAAAACTGCTTTCCAGACGTGGGCTTCGACTATGCTTTCTGAAAAAGCAAACCCTTCTGCGGCACTGGAACAGCTGTTGTCTTGCTTGCCGTGGTGTTTCCAAGAGCATCGTGGGTTACAGGCTTTCACGCCAGCGCCTCGAAAGGGGGGTGTCTCATGGGGCAATTCTGGTTATTAATGCCTGCCTAGCATTGTGGCATGTTGAAGCTTGCTGCGTTCCTTTCCAGCGAGACAACCAAACCACTCCGAGCTAGCAAGCCTCTGCAGTGTGAAATCCATTCCGGAATCTTTTGTAAAAATGGCGTCCGAAAACGCCCAACAATAAACGCCTTGCGACCGCGCTTTTTGCTGCGGCCGCTCATGACAAGCTTGAGCCACCCATCGGTGGCGAGCCCTGAAAACGAGCGCGCAAGTCCAACTGGTGTGATCAGACCTCCAGGCAAGGTGTCCCATCGCTTTCACACTCGCTCCTTTTCTGGAATCAGATCATACCAGACCCTGAATCACAGATGAAAGCTGTCCAGGCTTCATGGACTTCGTGAGAGCGTTGGACGGCGTCTTGGGTGTTGTGGTCGGTCAGCAGCGGATCTCCCAGAAGCTCTCCAGAGCGTCTCCAAAAAAAGACTGTCTTGCCGCGCTCAAATCGAATGCCTGACGGCGCGAAGTCCAGACTGTGCTGCACGCTCAAACAACGAACGGCAGGCGGTGACATCTTGAGTCTTGAGCCTGACCAGCGACTCATGAAGGCCCCGACCATGGTCATGGTAAAGACCGCGCAGCGCAAACCTCATGCTCATACATTCCATGCCTGAATGCTCATCGACTCAGCTTGAAGCGTCGGCCGGCAAACACGGCGACCGCAGGTCGAACGCCAGTCAAGCAACAGGAGGTGTCCATCCACCATTGCTTCCTCAAACGCAAAGGGCTTGGGTAGGTGATCCCAACGTCTTTGGTGTTTCTGGCCACCTTCTCTTTGCTGTTCGCGAAGACAACGTCGTTGTAAGTGGCTTGGTTGATGTTGGACTCTTGGACTGCAACTGACTCACGGCGCGCGACAAGTCCGGACGACAAGCCCGGGCCAGCCATGCCGGACCGTGCCAAGGAACCAATCATGCTTCGCAGCTGGTCCTTCACGGTGTCGGTGACTTGCTCCTCTTTTTCTTCTTTTGCTCCACACTCAAACGAATGGGACGCACACGGTCAACCAAGCTATAGGGCACTTGACGACACCTTGAGCATCTTTCTTCACCTCACGGCCGCAGTAGCGGAACTCATTCTTGGAAAGCTTGCCGAACTTGTACTTGTCGCAGATGGCCTTCATTCGTTCATCAACGCTTCTCCTGTCCACAGGAGGTCATCAACATGCACCACCACCAAACCTGCCAAGCTGCCATCAGGATATGAGAGGCAGTATGCCACTGCCTCACGCGGCGCTGGAGAAAGAGCTTGCTCCAACAAGCTGCCGTTTAAGTTCTCGAACCATCCACGCGGCGCGTCCTTAGTGCCATGCACAGTGGAAGAAACCATGTAGTCGCGACCTTCTGGCTCATCGGGAATTAATTCCACCTCTTGGCATTGAAAGCGCCAAAGTTCTGCCAAAGCTCCCACCTTGAAGGAATGCAGCGCTAATGTCTCCAGTCCAAAGGTCTGTGTCCCGACAGGCCGACAAGATCGAACTCAAAGACAGCGTAGCCGGCGTAGCCATTGAACAAGTAGGTCCACGAACCACCAAGCGGCTCTTCAAAATGTCCTCCTCAGTGGGTTCGGCCTTGTTGACAACGTCGACCAAACGAGTACAAATCGCACTCATTCGTGGGATGTCCTTCTAGCTGTTGGAGCTGCTCTTCATTGAGCCACGTGCCATCGGTGTACTTGGTCCAATTGCTCCTTGTCTCCTCGCGCCCAACAGCTTTGCCTAAACTTCTTTGCTTTCCTTCTCAAGAACAAGTTCGCGCCCAGCTCTTGTCTTCTTAGTTCTTTGGACTTTGTTCACTTCCGCGTGCGTCAGGTGACTGAAGTTGCGCATCATCCCCAGCAGGTGGACGCAGGGAAGGGCTGTTGAAGGAGAATCAGCGACTGAAGGAGCGGCTGAATCAAGAAGAGGCGACGAAGAAGAAGCAGGAGTTCCAGAGTTCCATCAGCGCGAGAAGGACAAGACGGCAGCGCCGAGCAGGAACCGATCAAGATGCACTGTGGGGCCTGTTGTGAATGAAGCAGGTCGAACGCATCTGCTTCTGCGGGTGCCAGATGGAGGAAAGATGAGACGGCAGCAAGAGTGTTTTGTTGCCCCCATAGCAGAGGAGTCTTCGCGCCCATTGAGAACCCAGCCAGCAGTTACATGTGGTCCGTGTATCGCCAAGTTGCTCTGTATGCGCGGCGGTGAGCGAGACAGACGCACGCCGTTGCTGCGCACTTGTCAGGCAAATTCGTCAGCTGCGGAATCAGATGATTCGGAAAAAGTCGCTAGGGGCGTTCTACCGCGCAGTCTCGGCGGCCCGAATTTTGGGCGATCTTCCGTTCTATGATAGCGCTGGAATGGGCAAGTCAGTGGGCAGCTCGGAGGGCAAAGTTGCTAAACACTTTCAGGTCAAGAAAAAGCGAGAACGTCGAGGGGTGAAAGTGAGGGTGCTGCAGTTGGAGGACAAGAAGAGACAGTTGCGTAGCTGACTCGAGCCCAAAGTCGCAGAGGTGTTGGTAGACGCGAGGTGTGACAAGTCTCAGGGGAGGCGAGGGTGACTGCGGACCCTTGCTGAGCAAGTCAGTGCTAGAGTGAGCTTGCTGCAAAGCAGTGCTATGATTCAGGTAAGGAGTGAGAAGTTGGAGGTGGGGGGTGTTGATGAGGTGGTCCTGGTTGGCAGCAGGGTACCTGTTGTGAATTGCTTTGATCATCTCTTGCGGACATCGATCGCGTTGTAGTTAGGTCTCAAGTGGTGGTCATGGAGGAAGCCCTCAGAACCTTCAGTCGGAGCATTGCAGAGAAACCTGAGCAACGTCGTATTGTGGCTGGTCCTTTTCACCCATGAACACCAAGGTTTACTGAAAGAATCGTGTGGTGCAAGGATGTGCAAGGATCATTTCTCCTAGACTCAAGAAGCCTCTTGCCTTCGGCTTTGTAGTGCCTCTGTGGATTGTTGACAGTTGGCATGGGATTGGGCATGAACAGGTCATCGCGCTAGCAGAGAAGCTCCCCATCGTGATAGTGAAAAAGATTCAAACCGTTTTTGAGGGTGCTGGAGGCCTTTCTCGGGCCAGCAAGAGTATGCTAGTAGAAACTATGGTGCAAGATGCCATGAACGATAGTCTTTCTTGATGTGCTCGCACCCCGTCAGCCAGCAACATAGCGGATGCACCCTCCCGTCTCAGGTAGCAGGAGACTTGGCAGTGGAGTAAGTAAGTAGTTTGTGGAATGCTGTATAGGTGAACCCGTAAGTGGCCAACACCAGATGCAGTATTTTTCACTAAGACAGCATAGCTTTCCCGACTGCGTCTCCAGTTCCAAGAAGAAAAAGAGCCAGCCGTGAAGTCGAATGTGAAGCCTGTGGAGTTCCAAAGAGAAGTACTTTCTGGTAGCTCATTCAATCTATCATGGCGCACAAGCATCGGACGATCCGCTTCCTTGTTCAATGAGGTGGCCGATGCGCCAGATGCTGCACCGCCGAGCTGGCAACGTTGATGGGTTCTGGGGACATGTGTTTGGCTATGGTTTTGAGATATCCGCCCTTGACCGACCCCTTCAAACAAACTAAGGTGTGTCTTGTAAAAAACAGCGTGTCCAAGATCCAATGCCTTCCACTTATAACAAGTGACACTTGACTTCTCCCATGCTGTATCTACTGTCCTCCCTCTCTTTATGTTTTCGCGTGTATGCCGCTCAAGTTGCTCAATTGGTTTCGCAGTAAATGCATTCCCTTGCACTAAAGATCACTAAAAAATCCCAATTTGCAGACATGTGTCGCAGTTGGCAGGACAAAGACGCGTGCACAATTGCTCCACGAGAAGTCCCAGGTGCAACTTCGGTCGGGCAGTTTTTGTTGATTCCTCGACTCACAGGAAGCGTCATCCCATAATATTTTGCCTTTTTTTCTGTGTGTTTTTGTTGCTCTTCGCAGGCTCGTGCCAAGACCTGGAGCAATACTCTCGAAGGGAGCCGAAGGAAGAAAGCCGAAGAGAAGAGGCGAAACTGTGGGAACTTCCTTTGTCCAAAATGGGCCCAATGACGCGGCCATGCTTTGCAGGAAAAAATTAGAGTTGGAAGAGCTTGAGCGGCAGAAGGCTGGGTGGGTTAAACACGGTGTTTGAAGCACTTGATCTTACTGTTATCCGGTTCTCTTCTTCGGCAAACGTTTTTCAAGCCTCCGGAAGGACAATTTCTTTTTGTTACATTCTTCCAATCACATGTTTGGTTCAGGCCAGTTGATGCGATCCTTGTTTGAGTTTGGAGCTCGTCCAAGGTTGATGCGGAAGAGGCCAAGATCCAACTGGACCAACGGCGAGAAACCATCGACCGCCTCTTGGATTTTAAAGGCAGTGGATTGGGAACAACACTGTAACACGCGCCTGATTGAAGCGCTGCGAAGCCATGTCTGTGGTTTTTCTGATATACCTTATTTTGGTTGCAGTGCCGCACAGTACCGCTATGTATATATATATATATATTTAGATATCTCGATGTACCATGATGTTCCTGGATATAAACGAATAGAAGGTAGGCATGACATGTGTCGCCAGAGGCAAATATCAATGAACGTAATCAGGGAATCTCATTATGGATAAATGTCATCGATAGGTTGTGACGGCAGCTCATTTGTTTGTTTGGGAGTGCGATGTGCCAAATCCCCGAGCACCGCCTTAGGTGCCAACAAGCTGCTCTACGAAGAGCAAGCTTCTCAATCTTGCTTTGCAAACGGAATGCTTCTGGCAGCGCGCAAGCCACAATCTGCTACATGTTGTTGCATATGCGCCCAAGCAGAGAAGCCTCGGTGCTGATGACAAGGGGTTAGCACATTTGTTTCCAACTATGTATATAGCTACATATATATATAGATAGTTAGTGATATGTATATATATATTTATGTCGGCTGACAGATCTGACAGAAGCCTATCTTTCCGAGGTCAGATCGCATGAAGTCCTTCCACAGCAAAATGATGCTTTGTGACGTCATCGCCGAACGAGAGGCAAGACATAACGGTTGTCAAAGAGACACAAGAGAACAACAAGGTGTGCTGCTAGATCACTGTTGTGCTCAGAGCAACATATTCGCTACTTTACTTTGCACACCAGGCGCAGATGTCTTTGAGGGGAGAGCTCAAGAAGCACGTGGCTTACTGCTGTTATTTTACCTTTGTTGCAAACAAACCCTTTGTGGATTTCATCATTGCTGGTCACACACCAAGGCTAGAACAGATCAGGGAAGACCGCTTCTTGGAGATGGAAAAACAGATGCTCGGCTGATGGAGACAGAAGTAGGCGTTTGTGTTGTGCGACTGTTCCAGAAGAAGCTTCAAGCTGAGCCAAGCTGTGCTTCTCAGGAATTATAGAAAGATGCTTGAGCGAGAAATGAAGGAGCTCATGGCTGAAACAGAGAAACAACAAGCTAGCTTCAAGACAGATTGCTTCTGAAGGCTTTGCTTGCAGTTCTCACTTCTTGGTGCTGAGACGGGCAAAAACAGGGCCAAAGACAGGCACCTACTTTGCAAAACACAATGGAATTCAAACCCCAGCATTTTGAACAATATCTCATTCGCTTCAGCTCCTCCTTGTCAGAGCTTCCTTTGGCAAGACATTGCAACCTCCCACAGTTTGGAGTCATGAGTGTTTTGGTCCGAGGGCAGGGAGGAGACAACGTACAAACAGCTACAACTGCGTATTCCTTTGCATCGGCGAATCCGTCCCACCAGCGGCTTGAGTCAGCAAACCACACTGAATCCTACAGGAGAAGGAAACAAAGGAGGAGCTTTCCAAGATTGCAGCAAGGGCTCAAAAGGACGTGTCTTCTTCTCCGCAGCATGTTCTCATGAAATCTTTGCAGACTGAGGGGTTGGAGTTGTCCCATTGACTGAGGGGTTGGACTCCAGAGTCCGAAGGGTTGCAGCCGCGACCCGAAGCGATCTTCTCGACGAGTCTCTTCGGAGGAGCAGTTAGCCGAGTACAAGGAGAAGCGTTTCCAGGAGGTGCCATGGAGAAAGAAGAGGAGTAAAGGCAACAAATATGTATATCTTCAGGGAAGTGCTGGTTGCATTGGTCGCATCCGCAATGACATAACGATACCGTGCTGGCACTAATCCAGGTGCACAACACAGCAGCAATAGATAAGGAAGTCTGACCAGGGCCACAAAGCTGGCCTGTACCGCTACATGGGGACCCGTCAACATCCCAGACACTGAGCAACGACGGTTCGTTGGACTTACAGTATATAACCACACAGCTACGTAGCTAGCTGGCTACAAAACACTCCTTGTTTCTCACACCAAAGAATTGACACAGATACCTCCCAAATCGCTGTGAAATTGGTTCCTCCCATAAGTTGTCAAAACCACCAGAAGTTTGCAGACTAATATTGTTCAGGATGTACAGATACATGGATGTACACTGTCTCTTCATGGACACGGAAGATAGACCCCGAGACGTGCGCTGAACTAACCCAGGTCGACACTAGGAAACCATTCTTGGCTTCCTTTGGCAGATGAACAAACAACACAGTAAACGCCAAAGTGAATTGGTTCTTGAGCAGTTGCGCCTTTACAAAAAACAAAACCGCAGCGAGCGCTTTCAACTGTGGTGGATTTGTGACCGCCTGGCCCTGAAAAACACCACTTGGTGTTCGCAGGTGAAGTCTTATGTGTTTTGTGACAAGGAGACCATGTGCCGGCAGGTGGAAGACGCTATGCTCGAGGGAGAGCTGCTGAGGCGGAAAGCCATTGAGGTGGGCAGATGTGTGGAGCACTGTTTCCGGTTTGGAATATTTTGTTCTTGGAAGAAGGGGAGGTTGAAAAGATTGAAGAGATTAATATCCTTTAAAATACCCTCTAACAAGGCCTAACAAGGCCGAAGCCCGGCATTTAATGTTTCGTCTTGGACGTGCTTGTCGATTTGGTGCTGCCTTTTGGATCCTTTTGGGTGATTCTTGAATTTGCAAATGGTTTTTCGCGACGTGGAATCTTGAATCCGAACCACTGTAACCTCTGAGGTTCTTTGGTTGTATCGTTCTCGTACAAGGTACCTCTCGCTTCTTCTCCCGAGGATTTGGAGGCTGAGAGAGGAGCAGAGAGGAAGCGGCGCGACATGGCGGTCAAGGTGGGCGACCGTTGCCATCGGCCGAAGGCTTCATTCGGTGGCTGCTTGACAGGTCGCGCATGCGCGAGTCGAGTTTACATTGATTTGAGTTATTTTATGCTGCTACTGAAGCAATCTGCACAGTCCACTTACTTGCCGATACACTACTTGTGATTTTGATTCTGATACTGATACTATTTGCCAAGCATGGGTCAATTGTCATCAACGGTCTTTTGCAGTCAAGCCTAGTTGGTATAGCATTCGCAGAGCACCCAGTACCCCAGATTGAGATCTCTTTGTCGAACTGACAAGGAGACCATGTCAGTCGGTGAGAAGATTGCTTGAAAGTATATTTGACAGGCACAAAAGGAGACACAAAAAGCCAACGAGTACTTGAAGCAGATCAAGGCACTCAAGCCCTGATCTTGACAGCATGCATTTTCAAAAGGTTTGCAACGCCTCTTAGACACCAGTAGCTTCATCATGAACAGGCAGAGGACATGCTGCGGCAGCAGCAAGAAGAGCAGAAGATTCAGGACTCTGTGCAGCGCGGTGCACAAGGGAAAGGTCTCTCATATTCTCTCGCACCCTCGGAACTGGCCGATCAAGATGCCGAACAGCCGCATTCATTCTGGGAATATGTCGATATTGCCGCAGTATCCTGAGTTGCTGCTAACTTCCAGATAGGTCAAAAACTTCTCACAAACATATCGACCAAACTTGTCAACCCTAGCTTGGCCGCAGCCAAGATTGCACTCGGGGAAGCTTGCTCAAGCCTCCGAAGTCATGGACAAAGCTCCACTGCGGGAGCCCGTGGAGCCGAACATTTGCAACACCTGTTCCTAGTAGCTTCTTGTTACTAGTAGCGATGCACTTGTTACTACTAGCGTGGCACTTGTTACTAGTAGCTAACTGCGCTGTGGTTTACACCACAGAATTTCCGTTCAGAAGCTTTGCGGATGCTGTGAATTTTTCCATTTCCATTTGTGAATTGCTCTCCATGTGACGCAGGTTGACTTTAATACTGCGCACGTATGTAGCCAAGCGGCGACAGGTCTGTAATGATCGATCCGACCGTTTGCTTGCATCCGTTATGACCTGAACACATGATCACTCCTTAGAAACATAGCGTCGCGGAAGAGGTTTGGCAACATGGCCCCCAAGCCAAAACGCAGCACTTCCGCTTCATTAAAACAGAAACCAGAAACAGATTAACTTTGAAGTTTGCCTGATCCCTGCATCAAACGTTCTTGACCGCTGCAGGACTACGCCAACCGAAAGGAGAAGATGTTGCAGCTGCGCAAGCAGAAAGAGGAGGAAGTCTTCCAGTCCAAGCAGGCAAAGGGTAGAGTGCAACATGTTCTCTTCATGCAAAAAGGATAAAGGGAACAACAAGACAGGTCCTGAAGGATAAAGGGAAACAAGAGGAACACCTTTTCGAGCGTTTACTATGTACATAATATGCAGTACACCTCTTCTATTATCACCGGGGATCAAGAACACTTCCTGCGGGCGAGACCCCTTCAACGTACAGGCAGCCCGGAATGCGATGATCGACGCGCAGGCGCAAGATGTTAGTTGGGCAGTAAGGTGCAGGCTTGTTCAGAGCCAACATTTGTGCGTTTTGAAGCAGAGGCCAACCATTGGGTTTGAGTTAAAGGTCCAACTGGCTGGTCGCCCAATTTCAACACACCCACAGTGAGATCGTTTGGACATCGGCACCAAGGTACAATCTCATGGTTTTGACACTCGTCTCCAACCTGGTCTTCTCATAAGTCCCTCCGAGTTCTGTGCGAGGCGAAGCGCTTGGCTGAGATGCAGAATAATGAGGAAGCGCGAGTAGAAGGAGAGGTGAAGAAGAAAGAGGCGCAGATTGATTGAGCAAGCAGCCTGACTCGACCATATTATGTGGCCTCATCTGTGTTTGGAAGACCTGGTTGCACATTGTGATATTATTTGGGCCAGGAAAACGATGAAAGGAAGCGCTTAGAGAAGTTGGAGATGATGCAGAGGCTTTGCTCACCTGGGACTTCCTGACCGGGGACTCTCGAGTTTTCATCAACTCCGTGATCGAGTTGCCATGGGCCCTTGATGATGGCCGTATGAGTTTTTCAACAAGTTCAACAAGGATTCGGGTTGGATTCTGTGATGTTTCTACGATGTCGTATGACACGAGACTCGGATTCTGTGATCGGTTTTCGAAAGCGGATTCACACTTCCTCAGGTGGGAGGAGGATATTCAGAAGAGTCGTCAGGTTGGACCCACAGAGCCGACATGAGCCGACGTGAGCCGACCATCACCGAAGAAATCAGAACCCCAGGTCACTCAACGGAGAGAGACTCCTATTGGGCTGAGGCTCAGATACAGCGCAAGCAGAATGCTCGTGCCAAAGTGAGGGTCTGAGTTTGCTGTGCAAAACACAATCAATTGGATGGCCGATCTGATGGTTCTTGACGCTGCTTGAAATGTAGCAAAACCGGCACAAATTTTCCTCAAGCGGGGGGATGTCCTTATTCTCTCATAAAGCTATTTAAGATTATTTAAGTCACTTTAAACCTATCTATATACACATGAATACCGATGATCACCTATGTATCAATTTCCTCCTTGATCTATCCTCTCATGCTACGAAAACCAAGCTTTGCACTAAACCGGGTCGAGTTCAAATTCTGTTTGGAGCGATCGGCCTTCAAGATAGTAGGCTCCCATGTTTGTGTTGCTCATCGACGGAGGTTTTTTCCACTAACAGGGATCCCACAGTCACAGGAATCCCGGGGTGACCCGGTTTCTTGTTGACGGGTCAGTGAGCAATTTCAAGGAGAAGGCCGAAGATGCAGAGACAGCCAAGTTCCTGGCGGAGTGGTGCAAAGTCTTGGATAAGCAGGACTTGCCGCTTTTGAGTCTCAGGGGCCGACGCATGAATTTTGATTGCAGACTTCGGCGGACAATGACGTGACGGTGACCATGCCAAGGTGATGAACAACAAAGTAATTTTGGTGCACAACCAATCCCTAGATTGATCAGACGCCTGCAACTGACGTTTCAACTTGACGGGAATTTTCAGAATGCGCTCAGTCACTGCGGCCATCTGTGCTCCTTGGCTGTTGCCAACACTGAAGACATCTCCTTTGCTTGAAAAACCCTGGGCACCAGGGGCCTGGCCGCTGAAGGAGCAGGAAGAAAATCGCCTTAAAGATGAGGCAGCAAAGAAGCTCGCAGAGGACCATTCAGAACTGAATCGAATGGCGCAGGGAACCGTCAGAATCAGTGCGGCACAGTTTCTGACACATCAATCAAACAACAATGGTGCTGGCATTTGCTAGGACACAAATGTATTCCTTTGACTCATTGCATTCTTGATCCTTGTGAGGAGCACATGAAGCAGGTATGACTCCCAGACGGGCATCACTCTGCAATCACGACTGCTGTGAATGTCAGCCCGCCAAGGTTGAGCTCCACAGAAGAAAGAAGAATGAGGACAGCAACTTGGGTGATCAGAGCCTTTAGAGATATGTCGATTTGCTTGAGCTTTGCACGTCATCTCCAGTCACCGCAACTTTGTGTTTGAAAAAGGACAAAGATGGTGACAAGACAGTGGCCTCGCATGCTAAGAAAGTGATTGAGGCGCGCAGTCTCTTCAGAGCTTGGTGAACTCATTTCAAATCAGGATCTCGCCTGATCTCCCAACCTATGTGAGAGAGAGATGCTTTCTTTCTTTGACGTTCCGGCTTTTCTGCTCTGTCCAGTAGGGCACCTGAATCCACCTTGCTTGGCCAAGCAAGTCGATTCAGTGATCCGTTCATGACACCTGACCACCGCAGGCAGACACCTTGGAGTTTCACGCTTACGCTGAGGCGAATCGTGTTCATCTCTTTTCGAGCTGTCTCTTTTTTCCGCTTTCGCCGCCTCATCTGCGAATGTGTTTGGTATGGGACTCTGGGACTTGTGTTTTGTTTGCCCAACATCAGTCTCTGCAACTTAGTTCGTTTGCTCCTTGTAGGGCGGGCAAGGTATACTCATCAATCACTGAGCAAATGACTGAGTATGAGCTTTGAGTGGTAATACAAAGGGATAAAAGCATATAAAAACTATGATTTGGGCCTGCCAATACCCAGCTTCAAATCATCTTCAGATCCGTAGCCGATTCGTTGGCCACGGATTGAGTCCCGAAATGGAGCATCAGAAGGGCGCCATTCATCCGGTTTTCCGCTCAGAAAGTCATCCGGGACTACTCCGCGGAGGGAAAGAATGTCATCCCTCTTATCAAGGAGACGCCGAAGAGCAGAGCCTTCAATAGAAGACAATGTGGAAAACCAAATCCAAGCAGTTTCTCGATCGAGGAGCTTCGAGACTTCCGCAAGAGGGTGGCAGAGTGAGCAGTGGACATCCACTGCCAGCGTGGATTGTGAGCCAACCGTGGCCACATTCTGCCACATTTGGAAAGGAACAACAACTTGTTAGTGTCGATGTGGGAATGTCTGTAGGATTTGTTGTAGGATTTGAGTTTGGCACTTGTTACTACTAGCTTCTTGTTACTACTAGTAAGGCACTTGTTACTAGTAGCGATGCACTTGTTACTAGTAGCTTCCTGTTTGGCTCCACATGCTCCCATCTCACCCTCCAAGTTTGCATGCTGTCTAGAACCCTACAGGGTTCCGGCCTCTCGGTCCGACGATCGAGCACCGGTTCGTCCGACGATCGAGGCGGTCGAACATGAAGCTGCCGAAAGCAGTCGCTGGCCGTCGCTGTGGGGTCCAAAGCAGTTCTTCAGAGCTGCAGACCAAGATTTCATTTGCATACAGAAATGATCGGGGAGTCCACCCATTCAAAAAAGGAGGCGTGTTTTTGTTTGGTCATGGACTCCTGGACTGTTCTTGCGATGTCTTCGAGGTCTACTTCAAACTTCCGGGTGCAAAGCACTCGGAAGAGTTTCACCAGTGATGGAAAAGTTTGAACACCGTATTACTGTATAAGACTATATGGGTTTGTATGTTTTTGGCGTGTACTTCCTGATGTGGGAGTTATCCAAAAGGTCCTTGTAAGGGTTTTAAATGTCGAGAGCCTTGGATGACATGATCGTGGGTCTCGCGAAAGATTTTTTTCGAGTTCGCGAATGTTTATTTTTTCGCGGAAGATTCGCGAAAGTATGATTTTTTATTGTATGTTTGCAGTTGTGGCTTCCAGTTCCTTTTTTTTGGATTGAGAAGTAGCCCATCCTTTCCTGACCGTCAGCAGCTTCAAATTTGGAATCCGTGTGAAGCTTCCTTCCTGTTTCATGTAGTCCACCCTATGCTATGCATGCCGTAGAAACCTCCAAAGCACAGGGATTATTTCGCGAAAGTTTCGCGAAAGTCTGGCGAAGGTTCAGAGGAACCCCGTAGCCCATAGCAATCCCACAAACTTAAAGAAAAGCTTGTTTTTTCATTATGGTAGAACAGCGCACGAAGAAGCTATAGGCATCCTCGGCTTGAGTGGTAGCACTGCACCATGGATAGACATGTAGGAAAACATATGCCAACGAAATTCTGCTCCAACACCAGCTTCCTGTTTGTAGCGGTTGGAAGTTCGACTTGAGCGATTCATACCCTCGAATCACGCCTCGAATCATACCCCCGAATCATACCCCTCAAAACGTTACACGTAAGAACCAGGTGTTCAGGTGAAGTTTTTGTTGGCCTTTGTGCCTTGTAGATGTCCATGAGCCAATGGTGCATGACGTTTGCAATTGTGTGATCCATGGGCACTCAATTTGGCAAAAATTGTTTGTGTCTTCTTGTGGGAAGAGCAAAGGCTCACGTTTCAGGGGTACTCATAATGTTCCCATGGGCTTTGCCTTGGGAAGAAGAGCCAAAGGACCGCCTTCTTTTGCAGAATCTAATGGCCATACGAATCACACCCGATTCATGCCCGATTCATACCCGAATCACGCACCTCCACACAGTCTCCCACCCATCCCACATCCTGGTTGTTTTGGTGGGGCCTCCACAGGGCCACTGCAGCCTTTGGTGGAAGAGTGCATTTGCCTAGTCTACCCAGCATCCAACAGATGCTGCTTGCCTACTGCCTCGGCGCAGAGTGGGCCCACTGCCGGAAGTCCAGCTAATCCAACAATGCAACTTCAAAGCTGGGAATCATCTGCGAATCATACCCTCGAATCATACCCCCGAATCATACCCTGAATCATACCCTCGAATCATACCACCTATTCAAACTTCCCGGCCCGACTACGGTAAAAAAATGCACACCCATATATATATATATATATATATTTAAAATATGTAGAGTCAGTCAGCCATAGCTTTTGTTCTAACCGCGTGTTTTTGACGCAACAAAGAGTCTGCTCGCTGCAGCTTCTTCCAGCTGATTCTTTCAAGATTCTTTTGCAGGTGTAGATAGATGCAAAGGTGAAGAAATTCTCCGCTATATGTCATGACAAGCATGGCAGTTGGAAACATGTTTCACTTGAGAGATGACTCTCATAAGATCGTCGCGTAGGCGTTCGGCTCTGAGAAAAGTTTCATGGTAGCGGAGCCCTGAGAGTGGGCAAGCTACTCGAAGGGCTCCAGCTACAGAGGCCACACGGGCCCCGACCGCTGCCATAGGCGGCTGCGGTGACACTTCGGCGCTGGGCGTCGACTTGGCGAGCGGCTGGAGCTTTTGCTGCTGGCTGCTGGGCGAGCTAGCGCTGCGCGGGGCGTGGCGGCTTGGCTTGCGGCTCCTTCCGGCAGCGCTGTTGACGCTGCTGACGGGATTGGCGAGCTCTTCGACGAGTCCTACCTCTTCGACGAGACCTTTGGTGAGCCCAATACGCACTTCGAGGAGTTCTTCAACGGCCTCGAGCTCTACTACGTCCTCTATACGACGACGTCTAGACCTACGACAAGCCGAACAGATGGAAGCTTTGCGTGAAGTGGTACGTGCTGCCACCGAAGCTGCCAACGCTGCACGTGATGCAGCTCGAGCGAGCCAAGAAATTGTGGCCAAGGCAGCTGAAGATCGCACAGGGCGGTTCAAGGGTGCAACGAAGGTGGTAAAGTTCCCGGAGACCTTCGGCAATGCTGTTTCTGCAGAGGACCAAGTGGATGGATTTCAGTTTAGCCTTCACACAGTGGCTATGCTTTGCAGAGCCAGAGTTTGGCCCCGACATCAAGCACGTCGAGGAAAACCTCAACACAGTCGTGGTTTTTGTGGACACTGCGGCAGGAAAAGCTTCACAGGAGAGATCAAGGCGGCTGTACGCCATTTTGAGCGGGATCTTGAAATTTCGACCGCTCAAAGTCCTCAAGCAAGTGAAAGACAATAATGGTTTGGAGGTATGGAGGCAGCTGCATAGCCTCTACACCCCAAAGACCAAGGCCAGGAATCTGTCCTTGCTGAACGCGCTGATGAGCTACCCGACCTTTGATCGCAACAAGACCCTCTTGGAGCAGATCCAAGGGATGGACAGGATTGCTGACGAGTACCGCAAGTGCTCAGGGTCCGATGTGAATGATGGCATTTTGTTGTCAACTTTGGTTCGGGTACTGCCTAAGCACATTCAACAACACATCCAGCTCACCATGGACGAGCGTGCCACGTTCTCAAGTGTTCGTGCACGCGTTCTCACTTACGAGAATGTCACGACAAGCTGGAGCAAAGAGAAGGTCTACAGTGACCTAGGAGCAGTGACATCCTACGCCAACGATGGTGGTGGACTTGCCCCCATGGACATCAACCAGATCAAGGGCAAGGGCAAGGATGGCAAAGGTAAGGATAAAGGCAAGTCCAAGTCCAAGGGCAAGGACAAGGGCAAGAGTAAAGGCAAAGGAGCATCTGGCAAAGATGGCAAGGGCAAGGGCTATGCCGCTGGGAGAGGCAAAGGGTATTCCCTCAACAATAACCCCAACGGTTCCAAGAAAGATGAAGCCTGCTTTTACTGTGGCAAGCAGGGCCATATGAAACGAGATTGCAGGAAGCTCAAAGCTGACCAGGCCAATGGACAAGTTCGACAAGTTGAAGAATTGTCCCTCGCCCAGAAGACTGACAGTTCAAGTGCAACTGGTGGTCAGCAACAACAACAGCAACGAGTCTGCTTGATCTCCTACGACGATGATAGCTATGAGGACCTCACCGTCTACAACAACGTCGCTTCAGCGTCTTCTTCGTCTTCAACAACATACAGAGTGATGATGATTCAGGAAGTGGATCACTTCGACATGAGCTACACCGATGGCGATGGTGATTGGCTTTGCGCCCCATACACACCTGATAGCACCTACTACCTCAGGACCATGACGCGCGTGGATGAAGACTACAACAACGAGGAGATTGAGATCGTGTTGGATTCTGGAGCTGACGCAAGTGCTCTACCTCTTCGCTTCTCAAAGGTTGGCGAGAGCACATGGACCAATGTTGGGACTTTCATTGATGCCCAGGGGAGTCCTTTGGAGATCCAAGATGTGAAGACAGCTTTGGTGGATCTTGGCATCGCCAAGTTCAAGGAACAATTCATTATTGCGGATGTGACTACACCACTCCTATCTCTTGGACACCTTCTTCGTGCTGGGTGGTCACTACAACACCTGAACGATGAGCTCTACCTTATGAAGGGCCACAAGAAGATCCCAGTGCACTTCAGGAGGAATTCACTTTGTGTTTCAGGGCAAATCTCACTCATGAGCAAAAAAGAAGAACCCAAGATCAGCAACATCAGGGTGCTGACACTTCAACCTGTTCTTTCACAACTTGCAGCTGGGTGGAATGAGATCACGCCGGACCTCTTCGCGATCAAAACGGTGGCCCCCAGACACGTGGATACGACTTTCTGTCCTAGTAGAGAGGCCACGTGGTTGAGAACTACATTGGTACTCCGTGACAAGTGGGAGCTGGAAGAGTTTGCAGAACCTATTGGAGATTTACCTTCATTGGATGAACCTTTTGAGCAACCTTCCAAAGTAAGAGAAGTGCTCACCACAGGCATGCAGCCCCTCCTGAAGATCTAGGATTCAACATGCCTGAGTATGTGCCTTTCAGTGCTCAACCTGATGCTCGCAGAATGGAAGATATCGAGGAGGAACTCAAACAATCAGCAGTCCCTGCAGTTGAACAAGAGCGAGAACTACCGCCCGAAGAACGAGTAGTACCCTTCGAGCCAGAGGAAGACCTAGTGGTGATTGATGGAGCAAAGCTGACAAGCTCGAGCTCTTTGGCACACCTGAAAGCTGGATGTGCTAACTTTGGACTCTCTCAACGGGGTAGCAAACTTGACTGTTTCAGAAGACTTGTTGAGCGCGCCCAAAACCAGAAACTGATAGCAGCACATGCAGCTGAAGTAAAGCTGCAGGGAGAAGTTCGAAGGCAGCCGATTGAACAAAAGAAACCTCAAAAGCCTTCGCATACTGAATTGGAGCGACATGCCTTGACTCATGAGCCCTTTGCAGATTGGTGTGAACTTTGTGTAGCACACCGTAGCAAGCAAGACAAGCACAGCCCTCAAGAACATTTACAAAAGAGTCACTCAACCATTTCGTTTGATTTCGGCTACTCTTCGCGCGTGACTGACGAGAAACTCACGATCCTTTTCATGCGCGACCAAGCCACCAAGTTGATGCACGCGCTTCCCACCATGCAGAAAGGAGGACAGGCGACCAAGTACCTGGTGACAGAAATGGTTCGCTTCATCGTCTTCACAGGACACCAAGAAGTTGGGCTTCGCTGTGACTGCGAACCTTCAACCACTAACCTGATGGACGCAGTGCAGAGGACATGCAAGAATATGGGCATCAAAGTGATGCAGGAGCCCACAGCAGTTGGAGACTATCAGAGCAATGGCGCTGCTGAGATCACAGTCCAAGTGATTCGCAACAAGGCAAACATCCTTGTGTCCCAAATTCAACAAGCACTCTGCCTCAAGAAACCGTGGTTCCCTGCAACGCATCCCATCTACGCATGGGCATTCACACACGCGGCCTGGATCCACAATCACTTCTCTGTGAACCAAGCCAGAACACCTTTCGAAAGGAGCAGCCTGAGCAGCAACTCTGTGTATTCAGGAAAAGTTGCTGGTTTTGGAGAAGAAGTTCTCGCCTACGTGAAGTCAGAGAAGAAAGGAGAAGCCAAGTGGATCAAAGCGATCTACGATGCAAAACGAGGTGCACATTCTTGGCACAGCAGATGGTACCTTAACCTCAAGATCCATCAGGAGAATTGCTGTCCCTGGAACCGCGCGGCCATTGAGGAGTTGAAGTATGCCCCATGGCACCATGGTCTTGCAGCACTCGGACATCGAGTATTTAGACAGAAGCGGGTTCATTTTCCTCAACAAGCTCCTGTTGGACAGCTACCTGGACTAGTTCTTCCAGAGGACAAAGGCATCGAATACGACCCGACGAGTGCAGCACCGCCCACGCCCGATCCTTTGATGCAGGCGCCTTCGAGCCCACCAGTTCCACCATTTGGAGTGCACGGGTTCCAAGCTCCAAGCACTCCTGACTATGCGCCGATGGAAGACACTCGTGAACACGTTCATGATGAACCTGAGGGAGAAGCCAGCGCAAAGAAACCCAAAACCGCAGACGACTCCCCAGAAATATGCAGCCCTAAGAAGAAGCAGAAAGTTGAAGATGTTGGCAAAGTGATGGCGCTCAAGCACAACCTCGAGGAGTTCCACGAGGACAACCCTGTCTACTTCGACTTCACCAATGATGAGTTAGACTACATGGAGGAGTATGAGTACAACATGGAGAACGATGACGACGACCCTCTAGACATCGATGAGGCAATCAAAACCTTGACCTACCCTTACTCAGTTGAGGAGCCTCAGCTTTCTGAAGAAGAACTTCAGCAACTGGACTCTTTGGCTGATGCAGTGGAGATCGCCCGCCTGAAGACACTTGGAGTCTTGCATGATGGCGCTGGCGGGGAATTTGCGTGTGCCGTTTCTGATGACAACGTAGAGTACAAAATGCTGAGCGCAAAGTTCGTCCGCGCATGGCGAGACAAACAAGACAAGAATGGCCAGAAGTCTTGGCTCCGCAGGAGCCGATTCGTGGCACGAGAATTTGCATGGCTGTCTCCTGAAAGACAGGACCTCTTCAGTCCTGCAAGCTCTGTCAGTAGCAAGCTCTTACCCGTGCTCTACCTGAAGCACAGGGCCAATGGCTTTGTGATGATGAGCATCGACTTCAAGGATGCCTTCCTCACGGTGGACCAACGACAACGATTTTTCACTCCGTGAACGCACGTGGTGAGAAAGAGATGCGCCTTGGGAAAGTCCTACCTGGACAGCGAGACGGAAGTTTACTCTGGTATGAATCATGACCAACTACGTCAGGACCGAGCTGGACATGTACCCGTCTCTCCTCAAGAATGACGACCAGACCTGCTTCATGCTGGTGCACGTGGACGACGTCCTGGTGGTATGCTCTCGCTGATCCCAATACTGGAGAAGCAATACTCGATCTCAGTTTCAACCATGGACAAGCCCGGAGACGAGCTGACCTTTCTGAAGGGAACTCATACCCTGAAGGATAACATGATGCTGATTCAACCACATCCCAAGCACTTCGCACAGCTCTACGAGATTGTGGGCATCGCTGGCAAGCACACCAAGAAGTCCCCAGGACATGCGGAAATGGATGCGCCAGACAACTCCAAAGAGTTGGACTCTGACCAGGCAACGCAGTTCAGGCGAGCGGTTGGCATTCTCATGTACCTGATGGCAGACCTTCCCCAATGTCAACATTGTATCAGATTGTTGGCAACATACATGAGCAAGCCTACAGGCAAAGCCTGGATGATTCTCAAACATCTCGTCATGTACCTGGCTGGCGCCGAACATTTGGTGGTGAGCCTCAACTTCGTTGATGCGCAAACTGGACTACATCATTCATATGGCCATGACAGGGACCCAGTCCTGGAGGTGTTCACAGATGCCGATTGGGCATCATCTCGAGAGAACAGACGAAGCATCAGTTCTGTTTGTCTGATGTTTGGAGGAGCTCTGTTGCACTCGTGCTCCAGAACGCAAAAGATAGTAGCTTTGAGCTCTGCTGAGAGTGAACTCTACGCAGCGTCCTCGGGAGCTTGCGATGGATGTCTGATGATGAAGATTTTGGAATGGATTCTGAAAGTCCCCAAAGTCAGGATGATCCTGTATATGGATTCCTCCGCGGCCCGAGCTGTGATTGCTCGGAAAGGGGTCGGAAAGATTCGGCGCCTCAGCTGCCGAGTATACTTTGGTTTCAACAACACCTCTCCACAGGCCAGATGGAGGTGGCGCCTGTGCCTGGACCCAAGAATCCTGCAGATCTAGGCGCCAAGAGATTGAGCCACAAACGGCTGGTAAGCCTGATGAGAATGATTGGCTTCTACGACATGGACAACGACCATTTGTTGACCGACGACACCATACTCCGCGAGGAAGCGCGGCAGTTGAACCAAAGCGCAGTCCGCGCTTTGAACGCCTTGAGCCTACTCAGTGGCATGGCGCTCCAAGGGTGCCAAGATGGAGGACAACGTGAAGATGGCAATGGAAGCAGCGATAAGCTTCATGTGGGAAACATGGAGGGTTACACTCTTCCAGATTGGCGTTGCAATGCTTGGCATCATCGGGATGATCCTCTACAAGAAGTTCATTCGTCGTGGACAACTTGCAGAAGAAGCTTTTCATGAAGCTCTACTTGAAGAACAAAGCCGACGTGAGGAAGTTCCACAACTTCATCGAGAACCTCATGAACCAGAAGAACACGGACTACCTCATCGATACCCTCAGGATGAAGAACCGTATCCTCGCGACTATGATGACATGTTAGTCGATGAAGAGCCCTTCAACGTGTTTGGTGTCAACGCAGCCAGTAGACCTGCGCCCAGCAGCTTCGCACCAAGGCCTACAAGTGCGCAAGCCCTTCATGGTGATGAAGAACTTGCAGAGGAGGATAACCTCGCAGAAGACGACAATGACAGTATGAGCGTCGACGCGGAGCAGATCCTGGACTTTGGTGAGCATGAAGATGACTTCATCAACCTCACTGAGGAAGAGTACGACAGCTACAGGACAAGACTTCTTGTGGAAGTCCGTGGCGTCGAGCAATACCTGATCAAGCTCAACCGGAAAGTGAGAAGGAAGATGGAAGACCTTGATCCCAGGAACGTTTTCTATGAGGACATCAGGAGTCAGATGATAAGTGGCCTCAGGGAGATCATGGCGATGCAAAGAGATGTCATGAACGAAGGCCAAGCAACACGTGCCCGTGTGATTCGCTTCTTGCACGCCAGGCACCGCTACACCCATAACCACCCACCTGGTGACAGTGATGCAAGCATGGATCAAACCTCCGACCCAGAAGGCCACGCAGCAGTCACCTACGGATGGGCAAGCGACAACACTCCATCAAGCTGTGAGGAACACGCCATGGAGATCGCTCCTGCTGGAGCGAGTGGTGCAGCTGATGGAAGCTGATGATGCAGCTGAGCGCTGTGCAGCTGCTGAACTGTTTCACTAAGACTTGTGGAAAGCTTTGTCACTTGAGAAAACTCAGTGACTACAGCTTTGGCGGGGTGAAACAATTCTCCGCTATATGTCATGACAAGCATGGCAGTTGGAAACATGTTTCACTTGAGAGATGACTCTCATAAGATCGCCGCGTAGGCGTTCGGCTTTGAAAAAAGTTTCAATAGGTCAAGTCTATCCCAGTCTACTTCCTTCTCACACCTCCAACAAAAAACGCATTCTTTTTCTTGTTTCAACATGCAGAGCCTCACAACTGCAGAAACTTGACATATTTACTTCTTGCCTGTCGAAGTGAAATTTGTGCCAATGATTTGGGTTATTTGCATCTGGAACTACAAATCATTTCCGAATCAAAAACAACACAATCCTTCAACAACTTCCCCAAAAGCATCGGCTTGCCAACCGATGGGTGCAAGCGCCTGTGCAGAAGCAACCACTTGCAGGTGACCGTGGTTTCCTCATCTGCGAAGTCAATGAGAGCACCCCGAAGTACTGGTAACAACTGTTGTTTGCTTCAAGATCTTGCAAGATTGAGCGAACAAGATTGGAGTTGGTAACAGCAAGTCTGCATCACGGTTGAGAAGCAGAATCTGGTTTGTGAGGCATAGGTTTTTAGACTCACCGACTCACCAAAATGTAATTTCTTGGTGCAGGGTGGAGATTCCGACTGATGCATGCAGCAGCAGTACAAGCCCACCAGTCGTGCAAGAGTCCAGAACTTGGACCTGGGCCACAGTTGTTGGGTTCGAATGATCGGGCGTTTCGTTGTGTTCCTTCATATCCAACCTCCATCACACAGTGAGTTACTCAGAGCCTCAAAACATTTCTCAGGTCAACGATGCTCGCCAGATGCCGGGACGACAGAGTGGATGCAGGGACGACAGGATCCTCAACGATCAAAGCAGGGGGTCGGTAGATTTGCCTGCAAGCAAATGCCTTACTGGTGGAAAACGCGGTCCTTGCGGTTTGAGGCGCTCGCGGTGAGATTCCCATTCCGGAAGATGGTGTACTCGATTGCTTTTGCGAGCAGGCCTGCATGCAAGGGTACCGAAGTGGCCAATCTTTTCCTCTCTCACTGTGCTTTCACAGAGAGCGCAAACTCTGTGAACCATCGAGTGTCTCTGTGTGCAGCCGTGTGGAGCAACTGCACTTGCTCGCTTGGGATGTTGGGCAAACTGACAGTCTGAAGGATCCAGCGCCTGCCCGCTTCCAAGTCAGTCACAGTCACAGCACTCAATGAGCGCCATGATTCATTTATTTTGAATTTTGTGTATAATTTATGTAGAATCTTGATGAAGTTACACACCCCCCATCCTCTTCTCGAGACTGATTTTCAGGATGCGCCGTTGAAAGAATATACCTTTGTCATGGACAAGTCAGACATGCCCAACTCCGTTGCAGAGGAGTTTGCCCTTGTCAATGGGGCCATCAAGGCATATTATATATACACAGATCAGATATGGATATGCGCTTACACAAGATAGTTGGTAAGTTTGATCTCATGAGCGCTTGCACGTACGCTCTATGTCACCCTCAAGGCAGTTCGCAGACTCGACAGGCTCCAAGGCTCCAAGTAGTGAAAGCCAGGAGCAGCGGGGAAATTTGTCCCATCGCAGCTGTGCATCAGATTTGGAGCGCCGTGTGCCTTGGCGCTAGTGATCCCATCACTTGATCATGATCCAAATGACCATGTTGCTTGAACCCCTGGTAAGACACTCGGAGATTGACCATGTGATACAGGCTGAGTTCTACGATCACAAGGAGAAGGCCTGTAGTTGTTTTCTTGGGAAGAGATAAGTGTATAACAGGTCGGTTTTGCACCATTGTGCCTTCGTGTGCCGGCAAACATGTTCGCGTGTTGTTTGCTGGATTTGCTGGCCATCCTGCATCCCGTAGGTTGAGCAACGCCGGCGGGAGAGGCCGGGATGAGTGGAACCGTGATCCTTGAGCCACTTGGGTCCTTTTTGTGCCAATGATTCGGGCCGCTGATTGAGTTGGCCTTTGACTGTGACAGCTTTTGCAGATCCACCCTCAATGGGAAGGATCCGGCCAGCAACTCAAAGGTCATTCTTGACCCTCTAGCATTGTGGACGGCTCGCTATTTGAGAGATCAACGTCATTTCGCTTGATGATATCCGCCCCGAAGTCCCCAAACGGCTGCCAGTCCGTCCTGATTTGTTGTACGTGTCCAACTCCTGAACTGGGACAATCATGACATTACAATTGAGGGTGCCCTCGCTAGTAGGTTGGTAGGTTGGAGGCCAACGCTAGTAGGTTGGAGGCCACCTCTAGTAGGTTGGAGGCCATCGCCAGTAGGATGGAGGCCATTGATGGCAGCACGTAACGGAGCTGTCATGTGTGCAGCTCAGGTGCGAACCAAAGCAGCTCGGGTTTTGGAGCTGCAAGAGCAATACAGGAGTTTAGGAGTGAACGTGGTTCACAAGTGAGGGCTACTGGGCCAGGTATGCATCACCCTGTCTCGAGTCCGGCAATGGCCGGCACAGAAAAGGGGCATGCGTCATCCGAAGGAAAAGTCTTGCTTGGGTCATGGGTAGGTGCATCTGGCACATTCTTGATTTTGATGGCACCATGGCATCTTAGTTGCACGTTTCGCAGCAACACTCCGCTTTCAAGCCTTTCAAGATTTGTGCAGTGGAGTGGCCATGAGCGAGTGCATGACGTTGGTGCGCTGGCTATGTCTTTGTATCTTATTTTTTGTCCAACTGTCCCTGCTTGCCAGGCCTATGTTGTGAAGGCCGAGACCAAATTTGGACAGACAATCAAAGTTGTCGGGTCCAAGGAGGAGCCATCCCGGCTACTTACAGTTTTTTTTTTTTGCAGAGTAAGATTGTGCAACTGTGCCAGGCTTGGCAACTGGAACGTCCAGCGGGCTCCGTCGCTGTCGACCGACGTGCGACTTGCATGTTTATAGGTCTTCATGGCAACTGTTTCATATCGGGATCACTGGCCAGGCGACGGAGTACCCGAAGTGGTCCGGAACGTTGCCATGCACAGTTGTGGGGTCCCAAGAGTTTGTCTTGTCAGGGGTCACTGGGCCGGTGCCACAGCGCCCGTGCGTGAGCAGAGAAATATAAAACAGACACAAGAGCCTCGGTGGATGCAGAAAAGGCATCGAAGCCCCGCCAACGAAAGTTAGCTCCCACCAGGTCAGAGACCAATCTCCACAGCAGGGCTCCAGTGGGGTGGTCGAAGGGATTCCCAAGCAGGTCAGTAAGTCCACTGCAGACACACGCTTCAAGCCATTCCGGAAGAAGCAGGAAACATGCAATAATTAGTAACGTATGCAGTAATTAGTCAAGTAGAGGGTGAGTCGCCCTTGACAGCATCGAGCAAAGACCGGCACCACTAACCATACTCGCGAGGATCCATCAATACTTTTGACATGTCTACCTGCAGGGAGAGCTGGAATTCAAGTTCGTCAAAGTTGCAGAGAACGGTGATGCTGAGTGGGAGGATGGCCTGAGACTCAGTGTGGACAAAGGTGGACTTGACTTTGCTTGTTGTAGCGTGCTCTCGTGCCCACTTCTTGATCACCCAGCCACCGAGCCGCCCACCCACTCATCAGGAAAGAACAGGTCCATCAAGATCTCTGAAGATGGAGACATCGTCATTCCGAATGGATCGGCAACGTCGGGGAGCTGAGAACTTAGGACCTAGGATAAACCACCTAGTTGACCTATAGTAGCAATGGCCTCCAACCTAGTAACGATAGCCTCCAACCTATATAATAGGAGTGCGATGGCCTCCAACCTAATGGCGAGGGAAAGGTATGAAGCACCTTTTCCTGAAGGCCAAACACCATGACGTTTGGACACACGGAGGAAACAAATGCTCCGAGGCAGGGCTTGTTTGCGAAAACGAGACTCCCCAAGCCGTATGATGTGGTCTGCAGGCTGGCATCCGGCGGCAGCCGGAAGACGTCCTTCTCGGACGAGGTGGAGGAAGTGGCCAGGAACTTGGTTGGTTGGAAGTTCCTGTGGTTTTGCGCCCGTTTGCGATGCACTTGTTTTGTCACCAAGCAGCGAATTCGTTTGTGTGAGACTGCAATTGAACGTGCTCAATTCGTGAAAAGACACAAACCGCAGTGCGCTCTATTCCGTCGCTCCATTTTCCACAACTTTGACCAACTCGCACCGGCAATCCGTCCAGTCGAAAACCAATTGATTGGCCAAGGCGGTGCCCGTGCCAATCACTCCAAAAACCAAAGTACCAACTTCCCTGCTTGGCTGGGGGGCTTGGTGCAATGTAGTGTCGCGTCGATGGACGCCATTGGATCATTCACCTTGTTACTACTAGCAGCGATGCCCTTGTTGCTAGTAGCGATGCCCTAGTTACTTGTAGCGATGCCCTTGTTACTATTTTTTTGGATGACTTCTTTGCTCCACACTCAGATGAATCAGATGAGCTGCACTTTAATGTCGCTCGGTCCCTGGAGTGACTGACTTGCCACATGAGCTTGTGACGGAGCGTATTGCTGATCGCGCAAGTGGGATCCAGTATATGTGCGATCCAGCCAGGTATGCTCCATCACAGGGATTGGAGATGCGGTGTCGGTGGTGGGCTCGTGTCCGGAGCAACTCGGCTGAAAACCCAGCATCCGTCTTAGCAACTGTAGACTATTGTAGACTAGTTGACTAGTTGTCAATCCAGGATATTAGCTGCCAAAAGACAAGCACACTCTTGTTTTGGGAGGGGCGGAAAGTCTTCCCTTTTCGGTTCCCTCTTTAGTTCCATTGTCCAACCCAGAGAATCGAACGTATGTCACAGTTCCGTTTCAACGAGCTGCTGTCAAAAGAAGGTAATTGCTAGGTTTATCCTCCGTTATCGTCTATTTTGAGGAGACCCGCCCCATGCCCTTACAGACCCACCCGCAAAGATATTAGACTAAAACACGCGACTGGGTCCATGGAACAGTCCATGGTTTCAACTTTCAACAGAATTCCAAAACTTACGGACTAGTTTGCGGAAAGTACTGAAAACATCTTGCTCGTGTGAGCCCAATTGCAAAAACAGGTTTCAAACACCGTGGCCAGAACCTCCATGGGCAACCAATGTTCTTTGTTTTTTCCCCAAGGTCTTGAACCACTTCGGGAAACGCTTCGGAAGCCGCGACGCCGTTGTTTTTTTCGAAACGTGAGCCAAGGCTGGGAAACTGGGATGTGCGGCGAGGCTAGTGGGACGTTTCAGATAAGGTTGTACCAGCCAAACAGAATCGTAAACTCACAAGATTGAGGCAAGTTCGCAGCAAATTCGTAAAAACAGATTCGGTTTGGATAGGGAGCTGGTTTCTGCACTGCAGTTTCCGGCCAGGCATCAAGCTCTGCACCTCGGCGGACTTGCCCAAATCCCAGATCGCCCCCCAAAGGAGCCATCAAGTGCAGCTTTGAATGTTAGCAAAAAAGCGAGATAATTATGAGAATGGGATTTCTGAACAAAGCAACTTCTCAGACAGTTTTGTGAATCGCTTAGGTTCCCACAATGGGCCGGAGTATTGCACCTGAAGTCATGCTCATTTTGTTTGGAGCTTGGAAGCTAAAGCAGTGTCCCAAAGGCATGTAGAGGTGACAGCAACAGCAACAGTATATTATTCAGGATGTTCTCCAATCCGAGGTGACATCGAATTCAAGATCGTTGTTTGCAGGATCTCCTGTGATGCCGCAATCTTAAAGCTTTGGGTGTTCTGCCCTTAACACCATTGCCTCTCCAATCCTAAAAGGCAAGTGCTGTATTGACTAGCTACCTCTTTTACAGTCGAACGGTGGAACAGCGGAACCATTAACCTTTTCTGAGGAGTGGGAGGGCACCCAAAATCGTCGTCTAAGCCAAGACCCTAGTTTCGGAAGATGGACATCACCAAGAATTGCTGGATTTATCCTCAAGTGGCAGTTGCCGTATGAAGACGAGCCAGATGAATGCAAGATACTTCATTCCTGGTGCTTCAGGATCTATTCACAAGATTGTATTGTCAAAATTTGTCAAAGCTATTGAAGTAGAAGCCTCCCACGCGACGCCGCATCATCTTGCATTGGCTGGGGCAGGCATGCCAGGTGACGATCTAGAAGGCCCTTGGGAGGCAAGAGCAAATTTGCCAATAACGTCTGAGAGCTTGACTCATTGACCTTTGATAAAGATAGTTTCTTTTGCAGGCATTCTTGAGCTTCAACGTGAACGGCTGCAGAATCGCAAAGTTCAGGTGGAAGTGCTGACACAGCAGCTGTTTTGTCGCGTGATGTTGCTGCCCAGGACTACTCCGGTGAACTTACAGCAGACGAGCCCCTTTGGGTGCAGTCGAGTGATATCGAGGCGTCATGAACGGCTTGTCAATCCGCCGCTTTCTCCTAGTAGCGATGCCCTTGGCTCCTAGTAGCGATGCCCTTGGCTCCTAGTAGCGATGCCCTTTGCTCTGGAACATTGTCATTATTGAAATTTTACCGCTTCACAACACCCAGGTGAGGATTTAGATGAATTTTATGATTGAGTAAAGGAGAACGGGGATGATCAGGAGATGTTTCACCCATTGGGGGTGTTCTTTGTTATTGTTGTTTGTATGATATATATACATTCTTCTTATTTTTGAAGGGGGGTAGGCCGCTAGAGGTAGGTAGGTAGGTACGTAGCCAGCTAGTAGGCAGAGGTAGCTAGTAGTAGCTAGGTAGCTACTAGTATGGACGCATGAGCTCGCGCTTCTTTAAGGAAGCTCTGCTCCGACCGTGGCGGGGGAAGCTTCCTTGAAGAAGCGCTCGCGCTCATGATTTGGTTCCTAGATTTTTAGGGAAACTTAACTTAATGTGATGCATCGATACCATTGATGTGATGCATCCAAGGTATGGAAAGCCCCGACGACGTCAAGTTTGCCCTCAAGCAACAGCCTCAACTGCACGAGGGCGTTCCATTTCACACCAGAAACAGTATAGGATGATATAGGTGGGTGGGGCCCTTGCTGCATTGCTCAGCCTGACTCATACGCATTTATGAAGTTGTCTCAGAAATTGCTCTTGGGGTTCCGTACTGGCATGAGCAAGTAAGAAGATGTAAGAAGTAGGGAAGGTGAAAAAGAGGTTTCTGATTTCTGGGCCATTACAAGTTATTCGACCATTCATGATAGTTCTCTTTATTCCTCCTGTTGTGCCCATGGTTGAGCTCAGGACAAACATGATCGACATTGCCAGAGTCCCAGTGTTCGGAGAAGCACGCTGGAGAGATGTGAGTTTTCAGGGTCTCTCGCCTGTACCATGCCCACTGCGGGGATTCAGATGATGCTCAACAATTCGCCATGGGTTCAATGCGCAGTTTTCAATCATGCAACTGGTGCATCATCACGCTGGCTTGCAGACTGCTGTCTACAAAGCAGTTTGTTCATTTTCGTTCATGGCAGAGGCTGGCTGTATAACTTGAGAAAGTCAATGCACACCGTACTGGCAGGAGGAGAATAACGAACAACATATGAGAGTCATGAGGACCTAACTAAACCCGCAAATCGCGGTGGGACA